ATAAAAATGCAGTCAGTGATATTGTGCTCCGCCCTGAGTCGCACCCATGCCCGGCTTTCTCACTGTCATTAAACAGTCTTCTCACTCATATTTTTGTAGTGAAGGAAAAGAATACTACTTACAAGCTAGTCACTCGTACACTTCTTTTTTTTCTTTTTTTTTTCTTTCTGGCGTGAAATGACTGACAGTCACCATTCAGCACCCACTCCGTAGTGTTTCAGCACACAATGACATGATTGACTTGTGTAGACGAGCTTGTAGAGCCAGTCAGTCAGACATTGTCAGGCACACAGCGGTGAGCTAACATGTAATGAGTGGGCAGGTCCGTGGCTCTTTAGCGCTCTGATTAAACAATAGATCCTCATTCGAAAGTCTGCTTGCCACTTCACATGCAGACAGAGATGTCCTGCTGTACAGAGATCAACATGCCCAGAAGCTGAATAACAGACTACGCCTCGAGCTTTTTTCATACACTTGATATTTCTTTGATAATCACACAAACGCACTGATTGGTCCATGTGAATTGTAACAATTCCCTCGCGCTCATTAGGTCATTACGATGTTTGAAGCCACATTTTTCACAAAAACTGCAGCTGCTGCAAAACACTGCTAAAAAATGACCTCCCTGGGTAATAAGTCCCATTTTAACCCCCGAGTACATATATTGTTCATGAGGGAGCCGTCAACTCTCCATCAACTGCTGCCATTTATACAAGCTAGTTAGCAGTAAAACAATGTAGTTTAACCTCTTGATAGCAATGATAATAATTTAATTGCATTTGTGATGTATTACACCCTGCCATATGTTGTGCCAAAGTCCTTGTGTAAGGGCATATCCGTCAGTGAAAAATAAGACCTGTCAGGCTCGTTGATTACTTGTTTAAAAATCACTTTAATGCTTGTAGTTGTTGACAGCGCGGGTCATGTGAGAAATGATTTGTTAGGAGGCAACACTGTTTATTCCTCATCGTCTTCTCTGTTGTTGTTGTTGTTGTTGTTGTTGCTGTTGTTGTGCATTTTGCTCTTTGACGTTGTTAATCCTGAGCTAGTAAAAAAAGAGACAGATATTTGGGAAGAAAAGAAGGCAGCAGCAAGCCTCTGCTAAAATGTTTTAGAGTGAACAAAACTGCGAATTAGTGGGTGGGTAATGTATCACAGAGCTACACAGAGTCTAATCAGGATCCCAGCTGGAGGCGTAGCAGTGCTCTGACCCTGTGAAACGACTTTGTCCTCTGCCTCATCATCAGGGGAGGTTGGGAGATCAAAAAGGAAGTAATATTTTTTTTCCGGCTCTTCCAAAACAATTCTGCGGCTGTAATTAGCTTTGTTCTGATAACATTCACACAGCACGTCCCAGAGATGGGTGTGAAACTGTACACCTCCTAATCAGATATCTGCACTGTAATCAGGAGACAATCTTAATGACCTGTGTTAAATGCCAAGCGCTCATTCTGCTTCATCCATTCGCAGTCTGATCACACTGATTCAATCCCTGAAGTCAATGAAACAAATTAAATCCATTTCACTAACGATTACCTTTCTTTCCTTTTTCGCCTGAAATGATGTAAAGCTGGAAAGGTTTCAGTTCAGGCTTTTCATTGTCTTCTGAAAGACAGAATCTGGGGTTGATAAAGCACATTTTTGGGGGGGGGGGGCGGGGGGGGGTTTGTTTGTGAAGTGCTGGTGTATGAAACATCAAGACAAAGCTCTATAGGGAATCTGTCTGCTCTCTGAAACTCAAGACTGGTTGAAGGTATTAATGAGAGACTTGGTGAATAATTCATGCACATTGATAACGTCTCATATCTCATTTGGATGGACAGTGTCAAGGTAAAGTTAGTTTCAGACAGGTCTTTGTGTTTGTCCTCAGGTTTCACTTCAGTTGCTTTTGATTAGAAGTGCCTTGATCCTGTAACCCTGTAGGCTGTGCACCAGGTGAAAAGATTTCCAATATGGTTTTTTTCTCCAGAAATTGAGTGGAGGTGAAAAGAGGAGCTCTCTGAAGTGGTTGTGTTTAAGGAGGATTGTGAAAGTACAGTATATTCTCAGTATTCACTATTGCACTCAATGGTACAAACTCTGTACACGCTGTGATGAAGTATAGTCCTTCAGAAAATTGGCTAGAAAAAATTTTCTTCTTCTTGGTTTTCAATCAAAGCATTTTTTGATAACATTGAAAATTTGCCACAAAATAAGCAACAATCAAAGTTCAAGGAACAATGTTGACGATCTAGAGGGATTTAGTGGTATCTAGCGGTAAGAACCGCAGATTGCAAACAGCTTAGGTTTTTACAGAGGATCAAATTTTCCGCAGAGGTTCTTCCTCCTCAAAACAAACAGATCAGGTGATTAAAACTAGTAAAAACACTGAATAGAGTTAGTTAATGTTACAAATCAGTCTATCTCTTACTCTGTGCGGCACGTAGCAGACAGCCTGTTAGCCAAGCACCTGCTAATTTTTCATTCATTTTTCTTAACTGCTTATCCTGTTGGAGGTCATGGGGGGGGGGCTGGAGCCTATCCCAGCTGACACTGGGAGAGTGGCGGGCTACACCCTGGACAGGTTGCCAGACTATCACAGGGCTGACACATAGAGACAGACAACCATTCACGCTCACATTCACACCTACGGGCAATTTATAATCGGCAATTAACCTGCATGTCTTTGGAATGTGGGAGGAAACCGGAGTACCCAGAGAAAACCCACGCTGACACAGAGAGAACATGCGTACTCCGCACAGAAGGGCTCCCCCACCCTGGGTATGATCCAGGAGGCGACAATGCTAACCACTCCATCAATGTGCCGCCCTGTCCTGCTAATATGTGCTCCCCTATTTTCTATGATAGCTTCATGTATGCTCACCTAAATTTTGAACCAGAGATTCAGGAGGTTTTTACTGGGAACTGAATTATCAACAGAGATGTCCTCTTTTCCAAAACAAATTGATCCACTGATTTAAACCGGTAAAAATGCTGAATAAAGCAGTTTTGCGTTAAAATGTAAGTGATTTTCCAACACTGCTTGATGTGGAAAGGCTGCTAACTATAGCCCTTTTTAAACAGGAATTGTGCAAATTTGCAGGAAAGCCCAGTCAGTCTTCGTTCGGCATTGGCAGTATAAAAACAAAATCGGGGAGTGCGGCAAAATGCCGCATGCCTTCTTTTGTGTATACAGAATGTGCCTTTTTGGGGCAATGGGTGGCGTGAGCAAGTAATGAAACGTGTGGCTCAGCGTGTAACGTAAACAGTGATGCGGGAGGGAAGCCGCGGCTGGTCAGTCTTTTGGCAATTCTCTCGTAAGTCGGCCCGTTCTTCACCGTTCCTGTCATCTGATGGTTAATGGCTTCTTCATTTGCGAGGACAAGGAGGGCACACAATTCCTTGTCTCCTCAGTTGCTCATCTTTACAGTGTCTGTCAGGTTTGCGTTTCCCTCTTGCTACTAGCTGCTCGCTAATTCCTGCTATCAGCTGTTTCCTGTTTATCCACTGTCAATGGGTCACACGTGCGGTGTCATCAACAGCTCCTCCCACAAGTCTTCAACAGCCCCTCCCGTTGTGGAAGGTCGCCTCTGTCTTTTTAAAATAAAAGGGTTCCGCCCATATGACTACCCAAAGAGGCAGAACATTAGGCAATTTGTATCAGCTTGACAATCCGGCTCTGTGTGTCTAAACACTCACAGCTTGCCGGCAAAACGGCCCAACATTCGCGGAAAATCTGGCAGTGTAAAAGGGGCTTATGGTGGCCAATGCAAACACACAAATGGCCCTGTCAAGAGTCATTGTTTGGTTTGTCTCTTCTGGGCTACTGTAGAAAAATGGTGATGCAACATGGTGATCTCCATAGACAGGGGCCCGCTCCCTCTGTTGATATAAACAGCTCATTTTAAGTTAAAGTTAAAGTTAACAAAAACAAAAATTCTTATTTTCAGGTGATTATACACTAAAGAAAACATTTTATTATATTCCATATATTTGCCAGTATATCTCCTTAAATCCTACACACTGGACCTGTAAAGTACCTAGTTAGTATATATTGAGAGTTTAACACTCGTCTTAAAACCTCAGCGAATCTGCTTCATCAGGACTGTGTAGGTGTGTTTGATCAGATTTGACTGACAGTGCTGGCAAACAACCCCACAGCTGTCATCAGATTCTGATTCAAATGTTGCTAAACCCTGATTGGAGCACGGACGTACCGAGCATCACCTTTTTTTTCTTTTAAAAAATGGAAACACAAATATGGAAATCTCTCTTAAACAACCCAAACTCTTCAGACTGTGGCAGAACATAGTGTGTAATTGAAGGTCCCCATCGCTCATTGTAAGACACTGATTAAAAAAACATGTTTTCAAGGCCTTTACACATTAAAATGCAAATGGGAGTCGTTGGAAAAAAACACAAAAGCCAAACATTTTTTGCCATCTAATCATCAAGTGAGAAATTCACTTGCTCTACACGCGCTACACTTTTCGTTTGTGCGCATGATTGCAGTACTCCAACTTTGATAGAGCACAGGTACAAGCAGTGAAGTTTTTACACTTGAAAATGCTTGTTGGTGCTTATTGTGCTGTGTGTGAAAGAAATCTACCTTGTCCTCGATACTTCTAATTGCAAGTAATGTTCACCATGAAGGTCGTCGCTCTCTGCGTTGTTATAAGAAGTCTTGAATTCTAAAACTGCTCTAATGAATAGCCTTTTCACACAGTAAGGCGTATCAGGCTCTGTGGCACTTATTGTTATACGACTGTGACACGAGTCTGCCGCAGTCACAAAAGGGCCACTGGGTTTATGCTTTTTCTTTAGACTGTGGTGTATTTTTAGCAACACTTCAGCTACAGTAAAGTTTAAAGGCCCAGCTTGGTTCAGGAAGTTACAAACAATTGCTGCTTTTTTTCGCTGTCAGTATTTGGTTGAGTTATTGTGACGCTCCTGCTTGATGTGTAAATTGTTGGGGGGTTTTGTAATCTTCCTCCTTCCTTTGTGACTTTGTCTCTTCCCAGACATGGAACTCGATGTGCAGGAGAAGTTGCAGCGGCAGCCAACAACGGTGTGTGTGGTGTAGGTGTGGCCTATAATGCTAAAATTGGAGGTGAGTGAAGCACACAACCGGGGTTTTTAATTGGGAACAGTGTTTAATTAGAAATAATATTAATTTAAATGAGTTTAATAGTGTTTTAATTAGAAATAATATGTACAGTAGTGTTCACATTCAAACTAATTAACGTAGAAGTGAATTTGTTTCAGCTAGGCTCCATTTAGCTCTTCACCTAAAGAACTGTGACTGTCTTCACATTTAGTTGTAGGCCCAGTAATAGATTTTAAAGTTGTTATCCTTAATGTTTTTCTTTTCTCTTTTTTTTCTGGACCATTGACTGTCTTTTATCCACTGATTGACCCCCTGTTGTTCAGCTGCATGAGTGAAAGTGTGCTGCAGAGACAGACAAGAGCTTGCAGGGAATTGTCTGATCTGTTGATACTGAGAAGAAAAGCTTCTGCCTTCTGCAGGTTTTCCTCTGGAAATGAGATGACAGGGGCTTTATTAAAGGGGACCTGTTGTGCTTTTCTGTTTTTTGTGTCTTGTATATAGTGTTACAATGAAGGATGCTCATATTAAAATGGCCAGAGTTTGAAATTATGTTAATATATGTAAAAGTCGTCCCTGTGTGCAAAAACCTCAGGTTACCTAGTGTTCAGAACACTCTGTTTCCAAATGCTTTTTCTTTTCTCTGACATCTTTATATTGTCATCTGCTCCAGGCACACTGCTGCAAGCGTTTACATAGCATAGCCTATGCTAAATTAAGCTACATGCTAATGTCCAGGAAACATGTAAACTCAGTTGCTGATCATATTCCTGCTGGAACAAATTAGTTTGTGTTAAAAAGCTTTTATTAGTGATTTTTCATGGTAGAGAGTCCCATTATTCTCCATTACAGTTGTTCCCCAGCTGCAAGTACTCTGCTAATGTACTGTGGCTACATGCTAGCGTCAGGGAAACATGTAATCTTGGTTGCCAGTGTTGTTAAATGTCTGTTTGATTTCAGATCATATTCCTGCTGGAACACGTCCGGCTGTGTTTAGAAGCTTTTATTGGTGACTTTATTCTTGTTATTCTCGGTTACCGTCATTCCTCGCCGCAATGACGGTGCAGAGGTGCCGAGATACAGAAGACCTGGAAGTGCTGAACAATCAGAGCAGACTGGGCTTATTTGAGAGGGGGGCTTAAATAGACAGGTGCTAAAAGCGTGTCAAACACAGGGTGAATACAGATGTTCCAGCACAGACAGTATGAGGAAAAAAATGAAGTGTTTTTGACCATTAATGCATGTAAACATGTTCTGGAAATGAGAATAATAAGTCCCTTTTAAGGCTACTAGAACAATGCAGAGACATGTAGATTTCAGATTCAAGTTTTTGACAATCTTTTTTTATGCAAATATAATAACTCACTCTACCTTAATTTGGCAGGTGGCCTGAAACTCCATTCTTTCTTCCGCCTATTAGATAAAAAGCAAGTTCAATTTTTTAAGTGTTTTGTTGGGTCTTTTGTGATTCGTAAATTTAGCATTATGTTGATGCCAAGAAAACTGACTTCACAACCCAGCGGACGTCTTCTCACACCACCGTGTAAATCACCTACTTAAAACGCTGGTCAAAATACGACTCTTAGGATAGGCTGTTGTTTGAACAGTAATAAAGCTGTCAGCATGTGTGGATATACATTAAGAGAGAAGGTTTTATTTTGAAGTGGTTCATTTAAATCAAACCTGTGATCGCAAATTTAGTCTGAAAGGTTGTTTTTTTTTGTCACCTAATAATGGTCGCACTTGATAAAGAATTCCAAGGAGGCTCTTAGTAACTTTTGTCACCAAACAATCTATCAGTGACATGATGGCAGCCAACAAGACTCAGCGGAGTCTGCCGAGCCCTGAGCAGTCCCGTTCACAGATGTTACTCATAACTCTCCTTCTTTGTCTTCATTACCATTCGTCTCCCGACGGTGCCGTGCATTGGCCCCGTTCTCGTAAATTACTCCTCTGTGAATCTGTTCACGTCAAGGGGTCAGTGGATTGTTTATAAACAGCTGTGATTTGCTCCCAAATACCAGTGGTGTGTGTGTGTGTGTGTGTGTGTGTGCGTGATTGTGTGTGCACGCAAGCAGTCAGGTTCATGGGAGAAGCCTACATGTGTGTATCCTTACTGTGCAATGATTAGTGTTTAGTGTTTAGAACATGTAATTGACCCCACTTGGCTCACTCTGTTTCCTTCCACCTACTTTACCCATACCCCCCCCCCACACCCACACACACACACACACACACACATAGCTGCAGTCTTACCTGCTACATCTAACTTGCTAGGGGTTGCAGGGAACTCACACAGCAGTGTCTTAATAAGGAAGCGTTGAGCTGCAGGAAGTTGATGAGAATTGTTACGACAGCGATTATCATTACCACTGCAATACAGGCCGTGCATAATGATCAACCAAGCAAACATTGTTCTTTATGACACATGCTTAGTTCAGTTAAGTATGGGGTTTTTTTTTTTGATATTTTTTTTTTCAGGCTGCTCAATATTCAAACTTGCGTTACGCTGAATCCCCACGCCAACAGAGTAATTACTGCTTTGGCTACATCCCTTCTGGCATGTGTTTGTGCCTCCAGGGCCAGGCAGGTTGTCTAGAATAGATTATTGAAGTCTTAATGTGGACGTCGTCAGTCGCTCTGTGGCTCTTGAGGTCTGGGTCTTCCTCTCCCAGTAATGGACCTCATTTGAGGGTGGTTCATTTTTACGCCTCTCTGCAGCCATTAATGTTGCGAGGAGTGATCTGAGGCTGCTCACTTCAAAGGCTCAGACAGGGTTGTGTTCAGGTATGATGAAAGGTGACATTCAGTGCTACCCTGTGGACACAGCAGGCTCTGTACACTCTCAGCTCATTTATATCCGTGCGTATATGCACCTTTCTCTCTCCTGCAGTCTGTTAGCTTTGTCTACTTGTCCTTTCTTTGTGTTTTGCTGGGGTCAGGAGGCGGCCTTTCTTGGTTTAACAACCAGCTGGGTATTTGTTTATGCGATGGTAAAATAATGTAGTATCCATCGGAGCAGCATCTGTGGGTGAAAGCTTTGTACACTAACTCATTAAAACTGGAACTCTGTGAAGTCTTTTGGTTTTTCCTGTGAAGTCTTTTGTTTCTCCTGTTTTTCTGTTTTTGTTTTGTTTTGTGTTTTTGTGGCAGAAGATAAAATGGGAATTTTCGGTTCGACCGATTTCTTTCAGTCTTTTCATGACAAGTTTTCTCTTTTTGTCATCTCACGCTGTTTTTTTTCCTCAGGATTTGACACCTCCCCACCCATCTGAAGCTAAAATTCTTACGCTCACTTTCTCTTTACCATCTGTCATTCTGTCACTCTCTCCTCGCCACTTTTCACATCTCTAGTCTGGTAACCTAATCTGCACTGCATTGCCTGTTTCTTTCACAGGAGTTCGCATGTTGGATGGGGAGGTGACAGACGTGGTGGAGGCTCACTCCCTGAGCCTCAACCCGCAGCACATCCACATTTATAGTGCCAGCTGGGGCCCAGAGGACGATGGCAAGTCACTGGACGGCCCTGCCAAGCTGGCCAAGGAGGCTTTCCTCCAGGGAATCACCAAGGTCAGTCAGAGCAGACGCTCAGACTTTTAATCTACTAATATCGTCTCTGTTTCTTTCTTCTCACATCACCATTAAACTCACATCAGCTCTTTAAAGGTTTGACATAGGTTTGCACTTTTGGGAAATACGCTATTCCCTTCCTTTTCTTGCAGAGAAATAGATGAGAAGATCGATACCACGCTCATGTCAATATGGCAAATATGAAGCTGAAGCCAGCAGATTATTAGCTGAGCTGAAACTGACAGTAGGATGAAACATATAGCCTGGATCTGTCCAGATGTAACAAATTCTGCCTACTAGCACCTCTAATGCTCACCTATTTACATATTATATCTTGCTTCTCTAATCTGCGCAAAACCAAAAGTGTAATAACAACATTATTTTGTTTGCCATTCAAGTGTTGAAGACACTTTCTTATTCAGACAGTGTTTCCCAGACCATTGCCCTCCACAGCTGGGGTTAGGGCACAGGATGAATTATGGTTGGGCATCACAGAGGTAACTGCTTGGGGTAAAGGTAGTTGTTTTCAAACAGTGGGGCATGCCACGCTAGGGGGGCATAGAACCACTGCAGGTGGGGTGTGGATGTCCAGGGTAAAAATATGGAGTGAAACAAAGTTGAATGATGTGATTTATTTAGGGAAAATAAATAAAAAAGAGTTTGCCGATGCTGTCATGCTGCCCTTAATTTCTCTAAACTTCAAAATGGTGGGGGGCGTGAACGTTTTCTGGCCTCTGAAAAGGGGAATGACAGAAAAAGTTTGAGAACCACAGGGTTAAGCATAGCAGAAAATGACAGTTTGGGTCTAGGGGTGCACGTTATACCAGTATTGGTAATAACCATGATATTTATAAATTAAATATTGATATCATGTTAATTATACACATATAATAATATCATGTAAATAATCCAGCACCTTTTAAATAGTATCCGTTTCTTCCCAGTCTTGCTTTGTCTTCCCCTCCAGCACCATCTGGTTTCCTTTCCACTATCCATTAAAGTTCCCATATTGTGCTCATATTCAGGTTCATACTTGTGTTTTGGCTTTCTACCAGAACATTTTACATGCTTTAATGTTTAAAAAAACATTATTTTTTCCTCATACTGTCTGCCTGAAATCATACTCATACCGATACTAGTAATCACCTTCTGTCTGAAATGCTCAGTTTTTCTATCTCAATGGGCCGTTACACTGGAATTACATCACTAAGCAACAGCTTGGGTCCATGTTTGCTTTGTGTCAGCTGAGTTCATTCAGATTCACTGCAAAACATTCAAACAGGAAATACAAAAGGACCCGTTTCAAATGTTTCTGTTTGAAATGGTTTCTAGAGTGTACTCGTGACATCACAAATTCACAGAAATCCTGACAGTTGGTTTAAAGGCACAGTTTCTGAATATGAATTGTGTGCATTTCTCTGTGGATTTAGCATTTCGATACTTTCATAGTATTTATATAGCACCTGTACATGCATTTTCTATAGATATCGCAGTATGCGCGCTATCATTAAAACTCTTGGTCTTGGCACTCATTTAGTGAAAATCTTATAATGTGCCAGCTCTAGCTTGGAGTTAGGGATATGTTTGGGCTCAGGTTCAGTTTGGGGAAAACACAAATCGATTGGGACACACACTCACCAGTATCTTCCTGATAGTAGCCTGATAACTGGTCCCAGCCAAGAAATAGTCTGACTCATAACTCCTTAGAAAAATGGAAAAATTTTACAAGTCAGTTTATGTACAGATTAAACAAACAAGCTGTAACATGAGTTATGGAGCTTCACAGATGTTGGTAGGTGGATTTCATAACTTTTATAACTTCATAACAGAGCTACATGTTTCCAGTCTTTATGCTAAGCTAAGCCAAACAGCTGCTAGCTAATGTTTACCATACAGATGCTATTGCTCTTCTTATCTAAACCTCAGCAAGTAAGCAAATACTTGAAGTGAATTTATTCCTTTTAAGCAACATATGGAGTGATGTCTGTGGTGAATCTCTCTCTGGGGTATACTGTAGGAAAGAACAAACTCAAGGTGAGTCTGTTAATTGCCCTCTGACTAGCCTTTTAGGGTTGGGTAGAGTAAGACATTAAAAAGTATGACATATTATCTTAGCCTAATGTCATCATTTCTCATGTGTCAGCATGCTGCATCAAAAGGCATCAGCGGAGCGGCCTAATGATAAATGTGAGATGAGAGGGGGAAGAATCAGAGCAGCACTCACTGATACAGAACAATAGTTGGATTCAAAGACCGCAGTAATTGGCGTATAAATGAATGAAACTGCATATTTTCTGTGAAAAAAGAATGATTCATATGCCACATCCCAAAATATGAAATGCTCCACATATCACGGTGTGTTAGTGAGGAGAAATTGCCTGACAGCCGCACAACAGGACCTTTCTGGTTAAGCGTGTGTTCTGTTGGCAGTGAGATAACCCCTGGCACTGAAGTGTTATCGTCTGGCCTCTGTAACCTGCAGCAAAGGCAGCGTCGGGTCATGAATTGGGCTGGAAGGTTTAGGAGTATTAGCTGCAGCTTCAAGACTCTTGTGTTATGATACGGTGGGATTCAGACAGCATCACACACACTCGGCATGAGGGAAAATTTCCCTCAAATTTGTGGTAATTTGTGAGACGGAGATGTAGGAATCCATTAGGAAAACTAAATGGATAATCCTATTTAAAAAACTTAAGCTCATTTGAAGTCTGTGTTCAGGTGAAATTGAGGTCCCTTTGTACACTTACACGCTCAAAATGTGATTAACCGAGCCAGAATAAACAGTGTTGCAACAACTGTGATAAGGAGGCAAAGATTACTGTGTCTTTGTATTTGTCGGGATTGCGAAGCCAAAATGGTGGAACTGATTATGTGACAGGACTTTTATTTTTTTAGCAGCCAGGCCAGAGAGCAGAACAGACAATCACGATCTTTAACAGCCAGAGTAGCGAAAGATTCCTGCAGCTTTCTCCATCAATCGTTTTTTTTTTTTTTTAATGTCACTTTTTTGTAGTTTTGTGCATCTGCGGGTGACCGAGAGGGAGGGAGGAAGAAACGGTGCAGGACTGCGTTCTCCCACCTTATTAATGTCTTGCTTGCCGACAACTGTTTCATTATTCCTGCTCTCTATATGTCAGATTTGTTTGTTCACCATATGTATTTCTCGGTTTATTGTTTTGTTCTCTGAAAAGAATATTTTATTCGCCCACTTGGTTCAAACTGCATGTGGACAAAGAGGAGTTTTAATCTTTCAGCTCCATGCTGAACGTCCGTGTTGAGGTTGCTGCTTTCACACTCTTATAAAAGGTTTTATTTTTATTGTTTAATTAACTTTTGAATGACAGGGTGTGATTAACGCTGAATAGAAATGAGGGTTTGTCAGTAAATTGTGATGATAATGATACCTTTATTTATTTAGCACTTTAAGAAAAAACACTTAAAAAGCACTTCACAGAAGAAAAAAATCAAAGGCTGAGAGATAATAAGGTCTAACAAAGAAGAAAAAGTACTTGCTAAATATATTGTTTAGAGGAGGAAGAAAGGCTTAATTAAACATGACAGGAAAAGTAAATCTAATTAAAAGCCAATTTAAAAAATGTGTCTGTATGGCTTTAACAAAAGGGACACTGAGGTTGCTCTTCACCCGGAGGCTATTTCAGAGCTGACTGCAATCTCTTTTTGCCCTTTGCCTCCAGCCCGAACCCTGGGGACGACAGCAGGTCTGCAGACTTCTGCAGGCTTCTATCAGATATGTACTGAGAGAAAGGAGGTCGACGGTGTAGGAAGGGTTGAGACCAACCAGTGCCTCATAAAATAAGCACTCAAACTTTAAAATCAATTCTAAAGGTCATAGGTAACTAGTGCAGGGAGGCCAAAAAAACTGAAGAAAATGTGCAAACATTTCCTACAACTCGTGAACACCCCTGGCAGCTGTACATTGTACAAGCTGAAGGCGGTCCATTGATTTCTGGGGCATTTCAGCGATTAAAGAGTTGCAGTAATCTAATCAGCTGGAGACAAATGCATAAAAAAGGATTTGTTTGTCTTGGAACAAAAGTAGCAATCTAATCTTAGCAATGCTCCTGAGCTGACAAACGACACCCTTTGTTACTGAAATGCTTCAAGCCGTCTGTTGGCACGTCCAGGCCCAGCTGAACTAAATGCCCGTCTCATACAGCATGTGTACTTTAGGAGCGTATAGTCTCGCTGCCAGATATCATGTTGTCATTTATCATGCCCTTAAATTATATTCAGCTTGAGTAGATTTTGTAATTACATTTCTTCTGTTTGTTATCTGATGTTCTGCCGCAATAAGTCGCCTGACATTATGATGTATTAATAAGAGTTGTGCCTACAGCGGTTCACTGCTTCTGAGCGAAAGCACATAAGTGACAAGGCGTTTAAGCAGTGAGACAAACGTCTTTGTCAAAGGCAATTTTTCACACTTCAACCAGCGCTTGTTAGCCTCTTTCTCTAAACCCATTCCGTGCGTTTCTTTATGAATGTATATGTGTTTCTATATATCACAGGGACGTGGTGGACAAGGCTCCATCTTTGTGTGGGCCTCGGGTAACGGCGGCAGGGAGCAAGACAGCTGCAACTGTGACGGCTACACCAACAGCATATACACCCTCTCCATCAGCAGCACCACGCAGTCCGGCAACGTGCCGTGGTACAGCGAGCCCTGCTCCTCCACCCTCGCTACCACCTTCAGCTCTGGAAACCCGGGGGAGAAACAGATAGTGGGTGTACATACACACACACACTCACACTTTGAACATCTTAGATTTCACGTAGGATTGTTTTTGTACTTTGAATCTCTAGCGCACTGTAAATGTCAGCATCGCAAAAATAAACATGCACCTCATACTTTGCATTGGCCTGTTCAGTCAGCCAAAAGTCGACGCATCCACGATGAACCCTTCTGGAGTGTACATGCACATTAATATCATCTCTGGCAAATCAAAAGCAGGCATCGGACTGTCAAAATCAGAGTGAATGATGTGTAACATACAGTGAGCAAAGCTAACAAACACTGAGAGATGCCACATGCTTCCTTCAAGCTGCTTGTCAACTGAAGAAAGGCTCGCCTCAGGGACACAGAATCACATAAAACAACCATAAATCTACCATTCCCTCCAAAATACACCAGAGGCACGCTGCAGGCGAGCAAACACAACTCATCAAATGGATGAAATTGAAGTCATTTTAAAATTTACGGCAGCTGCTGTATTGTTGCTTTAGCAGTCAGAAGCTGTCATTTGTTGTGTCAGTGATTTCATACAGCTGTCATTTATCCAAAACTAGGATTTATGTTCACTTTGTTCGATCTTATGTTTGGTACATTGGTGTCTAGACTGTTTATTACAAGCAGACCAGGATCAAGCTTTCAAATGTGGACTCACAAGTAGCTCATTTAGTGGATAGATTTGGTCATCTGACATCTCTTGAGGCACTGGGTATATTTTACGGGGTGTTTAGAAGATGCTAGGTTTATAGCTTGTCTGTAAATGTAAAAATATAATCAGTGTTAGGCTGCAACTGACTATTTTTCATTATTGTTATTCTAGCCTTAGCATAAAATGTCAGAATATAGTAAAAAAAAAATTGCCCATCACATGTCTCTAGGGGGACAGCGCGGTGGTTAGCACTGTCGCCTCACAGCAAGAGGGTTCCTGGTTCAATCCCAGGAGGGAGCCTTTCTGTGTGGAGTTTCCATGTTCTCCCCGTGTTATCACGGGTTCTCTCCGGTGTCTCCAGCTTCCTCCTACAGTCCAAAGACATGCAGGTTAATTGGTGACTCTAAATTGTCCGTAGGTGTAAATGTGAGTGTGAATGGTTGTCTGTCTCTATGTGTCAGCCCTGTGATAGTCTGGAAACCTGTCCAGGGTGTACCCTGCCTCTCACCCAATGTCAGCTGGGATAGGCTCAAGCCCCCCCACGACCCTTAAGAGGATAAGCGGTTACGAAAATGGACGGATGGATGTCCCTAGGGATCAGTTGTTCAGAAGTAAACTGATCAGATTTCAGATTGAATCTAATCTTTGTTCAAAAGAAAAAAAGGATTTGGAAATCTGATTAGAATATGTAATCTAGTCACATAGTCCAGGCAAAATAGCCTTTTACGACAGACTAATTGTAAGAGATTTTTTTTCACCCTACATCATTACTATGAGGTGTCCAGAACAACATACTAAAAGTCCTAAGAAATCCTAGTCGCGGAAATATGTTTAATTCTCATCAATCCTAGATGTGTGCCAATATGGCCGTACAACAATACACCCAAATGGGCTTATTTTTTTCTTTTACTCCTATCACAGTGAAACATTCCAGAATGAAAGTAAACATGAAAAGTAACATTTTTTGTATTACAAGTTTTTTAACTCGTTAAAATATGGCCGAAAATACACCTCAATAGGCTTATTTTTCCCTTAACTCTTATCACAGTAAAACTTAACATAATGAAAGTATACATGAAAAGTAAAATTTTTTGTATTACAAGTTTCTTTGGAAATTAATTTGAATATGCAAATTAGATCAACACTAATTGAATATGTCCTAATTTGCATATCACGAAAATTGTTTTTTTGTTTTTCCATAAAATGTATTATATTTAAGATGTTTTTCATTATGATATCAAACACACTGATAAGACTTTCATGAGCCATTTCATCAAAATATTGTGATTTCATAGAATTACCTCAGAAACACCATTCATTCCATTCGCTTGAGTTCATTGTTGCTTGGCTAAGACTGGATTATGGTCAAGGCTTTCCAGAAAAGGGGTTGGTCGAACGTCAGAACAGGGGTCACATCATACTGCAGAGCTTGAGTTGCCACAAACCTCAATGTTGAGTATATGCAGGATTCATCACTGGGATCAAGATCAATCATTGGAAGGAATGTTACTGAAGCTCTCCCATAGCAATGAGATTAGCCTAATAGAATTTGCTAATGCTAGCAAACTAGTTTGTGTCAATAGGCGATAAAGTAGTTTTGGTTTTGGGCCAAAAATTTAGAAAAGAGTTGGTAACTTAAAATGTCCAGATTGAGTTTCTGGAGAGATCAAGAGTGGTTTCCTGCCAACAATGTGAATAGATTTTGCAGGTGTTAGCTACTTCTCGTACACAGTGCATAGCCAAACAAGGGTTGAAGCCCAAAGTGTAACCCTGGTCCGAAACACTTGTTTATAGTTACAAAAAGAGGTAGTGTGAATTAATAAAGAAGTCAAGTTTGGGCTACAGTTAGGCTTACTTCAAAATGTGAAGTAATTTTGGTTTTGGACAAAATTGTTAACTGTTAGCCTAAATTGTCTACCTGTTATGATGGTTCAGAAATATAGTCTCTAGCCTACATAAATAAGTAGCCTAATCAGTTCAGTGTAGCTTATTTGAGTTGAATTTTTCCCCACTTGGCTAGGTTTTCCACTTTGATTCAGTTTGTTTTTTTCCCCTATGATACTCGCTGTTCAGGGATGCTATTTGCTATTGTGTATAGCCAAATTGGTGCAAAGTGCATTCTGCATTGTGTTGTCTGCTATTGGTGAATGTGTGTCTGTCAGCTCTGTCTGGTTTTTCGGCTAGACGTGCTGTGTGCGAGTTAATCGTTGCACTGCCTGCAATTGTTAGCTTGTCTTTACCAACAATGTCTAATCTTACCAACAATATCTTGCAAACAATCTGTAAATTTACCAGCACAAAATGTTGTCACCACATTATCGTCTGTGATTTATTCTATATTTGGAATGTTGTCTGCGGAGGTGGGGGCGGGGGGGTCATAGCCTGACATATTTTACACAGCTCATTTGCATATTTAAATTCATTTCCAAAGAAACTTGTAATACAAAAATTTTTACTTTTCATGTATACTTTTATTGTGTTAAGTTTTACTGTGATAAGAGTTAAGGGAAAAATAAGCCTATTGGGGTGTATTTTTCAGCCATATTTTAATGAGTTTTGGGCTCATTTGCATATTCAAATTCATTTTAAAAAAAACTTGTAATACAAAAAATGTTACTTTTCATGTTTACTTTCATTCTGGAATGTTTCATTGTGATAGGAGTAAAAGAAAAAAATAAGCCCATTTGGGTGTATTGTTGTACGGCCATATTGGCACACATCTAGGATTGATGAGAATTAAACATATTTCCACAACTAGGATTTCTTAGGACTTTTAGTATGTTGTTCTGGACACCTCATAGAAATGATGTAGGGTGAAAAAAAATCTCTTACAATTAGTCTGATTTTTGGGTCCAAAATGAGCTAGATTTCCTGGACTAACAGTTTGATCTAAACCCTCAGTATGTGTTCAAAATTTTTTAGTAGGATTGGGATACCTTTGATCCATAAACATCAGGATTATCCTGATTGGTCAAATACATAAACATTTATGTATATTTTGCACTTGATTTGTTTAATCGTCACAGCGATAAAGTACAGAAAGTCATTATTAGGCTGCCTAAAGAGCATTTTGGTACAGTAAAAAAAATAATTATAAATAATCATTTCCTTTGGCAGCACGTATGGCGATTAGCTGTAATTGTAGTGTGTTTGAAAACCACGCTAATGATTTTATTTATATCAGCTCATTTTATGAGCCCTGCAGCTGCCGAGAAGGAAGGGTTACCACAGCATGAATGTATGTTTCTGTGTGTGTGTGTGAATGTCGCCACACACACTCAGTTAGTAATACAGCAAATGCTTTCATCAGTGAGCCATTGTGCTACCTCTTTCAGTGATAGACAGTGACATAACAGACATTTATTTATATGAATCTCTTCAAGATTATTACTTTAATTTTAACCTTCACGTACCATTTTATATTAATTACATTCACACAGTCAAAAGCAGTTTCTAACTATTACATCAACCATCTCTCTTTTAATGACCCCACACTAGCTGTTCTTTCTGCTCTACAGCTAGAAGCTTACATTGTGATATATAGTCCCATTTAGAGCACTGGTTATCTGGATTTAGTCGTCTTGACAGTGTGCATCTGGATCAGGGTGATCCAATCCAATGTTGCTTTGAAAAACCAGCACAGAAGTAAGATGGATTAGCTGATCTTAGGTAGCAAAACACGAGATTTTAAACTCCAGATCTTTGTGATTCACACAGAATTTCTTTGAACTGTGTTTGTGATTTTTGTCACACAGTCTAAAACCCAAAAATATTCAGTTTACAAAGAAAGAAAACAGAGAAAAGCTGAAGATCCTCACATTGCAGAAGCTGGAACCAGCAAATATTTGGACTTTTTTTTCCCTCGAGAAATGACTAATCACTAAGTCAATGACTGCGATCCAAAAACAATTAATGAAATATGACTGTGTTTCAGTGTTGTTTCATCCAGTCCTGATATCCAACAGTTGGCCTGTGCAGACACCTCCCTTTGTTTACTCCTCTGACACGTAGATTTCTTTCCACAGATAATGGCCATTAGTGCCACAATCTGTCAGGCCAAAAGTTGCAAACCAAGAATGTGTCCCTGACCTTCACAGCTCGCCTTGCCCTCTGGCTTCTTGTCATTTCCGACGTGTCCCCATCGCAACCCAGACAGGCCTCATTAGCTTTCTGGCATTGGCAGAGACTGAGAGCAGGGGTGTACCTGGAGTGCTAACATACTTTGTCTCACCTCCACCCGACCTAACTGCGCTGATTTGGCTGACATTCGCTGCCCCGGCTGCGACCCTCTGGCACGGATCCACAGACCTGAGAGTGAACCTACCTGCTTGTTCTCTCCTCCTCCTCCTCCTCCTCCTCCTCTTCCCTCCTGCCGCGGCTTGCTGCAGGCAGAGCTCCCATTGTCCTCAGCCCTCCCCTGTCTAACCTCTCTCGCCGTGAACTTCACTCATGCTGAAGTGGGAAACTCAATGTGTCATATTAACTGTGTCTAACCTTCTGTATTTCTGTGCACTTCTCTCCCTTCCCCTGTCTCCAAGGTGACCACAGACCTGAGGCAAAAATGCACAGACTCGCACACAGGGACATCTGCTTCGGCCCCACTGGCTGCTGGGATCATCGCTCTCGCTCTGGAGGCCAAGTGAGTGAGAGCGACACAACCTCCTCCTCTAACAGGACTATTTTTATAGTCACCCTTGTAGCCATTACGCTTTTACAGTAAACACTTTTTAGATTAAATTTTATTGTAAACTTCATTTGTTATGCTCTGCTGCACACTCATAGGAGGCACGCGTGTGTGTGTGTGCGTGCGCGCACTTGCGTCTGGGAGTCGGTGTTGGCCTAAATCCCAGCCTAGAAATTCCTTTCCTCAGCAAATTAAGCTTTTGATAATCAGTTAATTAGCCAGACAAATCAGCAGCTGCAGCCCACACAGACATCTGAATACCTGTAGGGCCAGGCAGTGAAGATTTTAACTGGAGAATGTCTCTCATTATCGCTCACTCAGGACTCCAGGTGTCAGAATCCAAGTTTCTGTCAGTAGCTCTAATGTGTTCTCCATTATGGTGGCATCTTCACTCATATCTCGCGGTGTGTTAAGTTCTCTTATCAGTCAGCCGTCCCCCATTCTGCATAATTCTCTTCATTTCCACATTAGCGTTTAGCTGACAGGTGTCAAAATCAAAGCCGGTGTTACCTCCCAGTCTAGGCTTCAGCTCAGGTATACATACTCTGCGTCCTAGGTTTATCTCTGTACTGTCACCTCTGATATCACAAGAGAAGGGCACTGACTGACAGACCTAAAGTTTGCACGGTGTAGACTATCTCTCACATTTAACACCACCCTGCTGACAGGCAGCAGTAATAACAGGGCTGCTAGTTTATCAGACTGGGACCACACTGGAATTCACAGAGATGGAATCATTTAATAGGCAGTGTGTTTGGGCTTTCTGGTGTTTTATTATTTTATTATTTTTTTCCCCTTCGCGCTTGGCTGAGGTGACATTGAGTGGATCGGTGGGGGGGGGGGGGATCTTGTCCATTAATAACACATGAGAGGATGTGAGATGTGAATGCTGATGCAGAGAGCAGCGGAGGTGATGCGCAACAGTGCAATTTCGTGTTTCTATTTCTGACTGCTGTGGTGTTGCACTCAGTAAGCAGTGTGATTCATGGTTTGATTATCTTAACCCACAGACTGTCTTTTTCCTCATTGGTGACTTAAAGGCTTTTCCTCTGAATGCTTCCCTGATGTGCCTCTTAATAAATCTATATATATGTATTTAAAAAAAAAAACATTTTTATTGGAAGGTGTGTGGAAGGTGACCTCATCCCCCAATCCCAGACCTCATTAGAAACTATCATCACAGCGAGGTCTAGACACAGTCCTCCACAGTGTTGTATCCACTGTTTTACTGTGTTCCCTGACCTTTCAGCACAATGGGTTATGATGTACCTTTAATACTGGTGTTTTACACCGGTGTTAAAACCATAATGTGAGCTCATACCTTTGTTATGGTTGACTGACATATCCCTCAAGGCTGTCCTTTACGTCTCAGTATAACACTTCAGAAGTATGGCTGTCCTCACTGTAAAGGCTCAGGTGGATTATATTTCAGGTGACTCAGACTCCTGACCTTTCCCATATCCCACAGCTCCTCACCTTTCCTCTGTCGTATTGTCACACAGCGGAGGTCAGCGAGACCTGGCTTTTCTCATAATGTGCATAATGTAGGAAGTTAATACCTTCCGCTGTTACATGACAGAAAGTCAGTGCGGTTACTCTGCTTACCTTCCTGTGTCTGTGTAGTATGAACCTGACCTGGAGGGACATGCAGCACCTGGTAGTGAGAACATCCCAGCCCGGACAACTCAGCGCCGGAGACTGGAGGACCAACGGAGTGGGACGCAGAGGTAAAGGCTGGTTGCTTCAAGTCAAGCACAGATGGTGTTACCTGCTGTCGTATTTGTGTGTCTTTCCTGAGCACCTGTTGGGACATTTAGAGCACAGGGAAAGGCTTTTGTTAGCATATGCATTATACAATATATATTATAAAACTCTATTCTGTGCACAGTAAATTGATTGCTATTCTGCACACAGTAATAACCTCTCACTCAGTTTCAAACTCCCTGCTCTGTGTACTCCCAAATTCTTATAGACTTGCTCTCTCAACATCTCTGCACTGTGCGCGCTCAGGTTTGCCTGCAGGCTCAACCAACATGACAAAGCCTTACAGTATGCCACAGTTTCAGCCAACCAAAAAAAATGGGATAAAATTGGTAGTTTTTGTTGTTGTTGTTGTTTTTTGTTTTTTTTTTTGCATGTTTTTGTCTGCTACAGCCAGGGCAGGAATTCCACCGTTGGCGGTTGCCGTCCTGGCCCCTCTGTCTGGTCTCCCTTCATAAAGTTCTCTGCCCATCAGCCAGTGTGGCCTCAGTGCCCCGCTCTCTGCCTGCTTTGTTCGTTTGTTTTCTTGGCCCTGCCTCTCTGCCCTCTCTTGTCAAGTTCACCTCAGCAACAGAACATTAGTACATGTACTTGATTGGTCAACAGTTACGTAATCAACGTGTGGTGTGACCAATACAATGCAAGCTGGAAAGACTCTTGTTTTAAAGTGTCTGACAGGATTTGTAAAGTGACAGTATTGTCACTACCTGTGTCTGTACATCCTGCCTTATCGGTACTGCACGTGCAGCCTTGAGACAGAAATCAGAAGGAAGCGAGACGGCTCACTCGTTAGCTACTTGAATGAATGAATAGTTTTTATTTCAGTTACATACATCTGGAGAAACAAAGATTATTTCAGTTTTTCTCACAGTCACGTATATCAACCAAAGGATAACCAAGAATATCAACAATACCAAAGAAAGGAAATAAATAAATTAATAATTAAATACATTATACTCTAAATTATAATCCTTAATTCTTTTGCATTTTGATCATTTTACATTTCAAGGCTTTTTTTAAAATTCAACAGAGAGCTACACAATTTCATAGTCCATTCCATAACATGACACCCAAAACTGAAACACATCTGTATTTTACTTTAGTTCCTACTTTACATGTTTCATAATAAACAACCCTCTTTAATTATAACTTCCTTCTCTTAATTTAAAAAAAAATGACTACCCATGTTTTACAATATACAATGTTCTTGTGAAGCTAAAAAACGTAACATCCTGCTTAGATGTCAAGTTATTTCTGTGATATTTGATGGATTGGAAGAGCAGAACAACACAATGCATCTTACCAGCAGCCATCTTGGATCCTCCCCTGTAAGAGGGAGCCTATGAAAAATATGTGCTTCCATCATCAGCTACAGAAAAAACAATTTGTTTAATTCAGAATGTTGTTGATTAGGTGCTATTAATGTTATTGACTATTTCGCCATTAGGAACAACCTCATATATAAATCTGACATATGACAAAATATGTAATCTACACACAGCGTATATGTCTCACACATATATGCTTATAAATGTGATGTAAATGCAAATCAACATATATACTCATGTCATTTACCTCATCAGATGACCAGAAGACTTTAAAACTTGATTTTTAAAACTTCAAGTTATTCTTTTGATAAAAAATATGTTTATATTTCTGTAGAAGTGCTACATCATTTATTAAAAAAACATTAATGCTTTTAGAAAAGGATTTGCCAGTTTAAATTAAATAAAAATCCTGGTTTTAACTCGTGGTCTTGATGCCTTGGCATGTGGCCTCTGTGCCCTCAAAATAATTGCCTAGGCAGAGCGGCCTTGCCCATACAATTACAAAATTCCTGGCCTGACTACAGCATACAGATCTCCTCTGAAAATCACTTGTCTTGAGTAAAGTTCAGAAAGACATTGATATTTTACATTTTTTTAATTTCACAATGGCTTCATTTTAACCCATGTTTGCACAAAGCTGTAACATTAGCGTGTTATCACAGGCAGAGCAGACGGTCACACTGAGCCAGGCAGCAGCCTGCTCCACAATCCGAGATCCGCAGACTCTGAACAACAACCCACATTAGCTTTCCTGCTAAAGTCTCCTTCTTATCTGACTTACAAACATGAACACACGTCTTCTTCTTCTTGGCCACCAAACAAAAATTCGCTGGGAATAAGTGCACCGCTGACATAATTTTCCAGGCTAGATGACTAATTAGCCGCTCAGCTGCAGCACATTTAACAGCATGAGAATTTACCTGCGAGTATCTCTTTGGTCCATTTAGATGCTGTTGTGGTCGTTCCTCTTCAATTCCACTGCTAAAAGCAAACTGTGTGACCATGACATGTCAGCTACCAGCTGAGATGAAAAGAGTTTCTGATATTTCCTGGAGACCATGTTTTCTTCCTTTTATGCACAACAAACAAACAATTTTATGACATTATATCAGACTGTATTTGCAGAAAGGGAGGTCTAAATGTGATTTGTATGAGTAGAGGAATTATATTTATGATTGCAGGCTCAGGATTGAGGCACAAATATAACACCATGGTATTAAAGTAAAAAGTGAATTGTTGACTGACAGTAATTGTGATGTTATCTCATCGCCTCCACCCACCAACCTGCCACTCTCATGCCTCTCCATCTTCTCTCTCCACAGTGAGTCATTCGTACGGTTACGGGCTCCTGGATGCAGGTGCTATGGTGGCTTTGGCACAGAACTGGACCACAGTGGGACCACAGCATCAGTGTGTTCACACCATGCTCACAGAACCAAGGTTAGGGGGGTGACTAGCAGCTCTCTCAGTGTGTGTGTGTGTGTGTGTGTGTGTGTGTGTGTGTGTGTGTGTGAGTGTGTGTGAGTGTGTGTGTTTGTGTGTGTGTGTGTAAACCACAGTGAGGTTTACTCTCGTTATTAGCACTTCCTGTTCTATCATCCAGCTTCAGCCTGATAGATGTCGCTGCGTTCTCCTCGGAGCCGGGACGGTCGCTTAGATTTGCAGCACAGCGCTATTGTCTGTGTCCGTCTCTACAGCCACACAACATTACCCACCCTCCCTCTCTGCTTGTCAACCTGCAGAGACATCGGGAATAAGCTGGTGTTCAGCAAGAGCGTGGATGCCTGCTGGGGACGACCGGAGTACGTCAGCTCTCTGGAACACGTTCAGGCTCGCCTCACTCTCTCCCACAGCCAGAGAGGAAAATTGGCCATTCATCTCATCAGCCCACTGGGCACACGCTCCACCTTGCTTTTCCCCAGGTACACAGTAAAACACACCACAATACACACGTAACAGACGAGCCATGGTATAAATCTCTCTTTGCCCGTGTCTCTTTCACACACACAGACAAACACAATGTGCATGTACCTCAATTTTATCTGTGCACAGTTACTCCCCCAAGTGTACTCTCTCTGGGAAAAAAAACACACTTTCTGCATTCTGCCACAGGAAAAATAAGACGAACGCCTCATCTCTACCCTTTGCTTTCAGGCCCAATGACTTCTCTTCAGAGGGATTCAACGACTGGGCCTTTATGACCACCCACTCATGGGGTGAGGACCCTCAAGGGGAATGGACGTTGGAAATAGAGAACGTAGCAGCTAATGGACGTGACTATGGTAACCCCACTCATCACCATTAATTGTTCAGTCTGAACACATTACATCAAACGTACATTCATGCCAGCATTCACTGCCCCCTCATCAACTCGAGTACTCTTGAATATTTTCATGCTTCTCCAAATAGCCTCTGCTCAGCTCCCCCTTTTTTTAGTCTCTTTCTAATGATGCCATTTATACTTTTTTTTTTGGAACCAGGGGGAGCAGCTCTCAGAAACACATTTGAATTAAATCTTTGCAGCTGCTGGACAGAGAAATATTCTTTTGAAATAAAGTGCTCGGTTTCCGTTTGATTATCATATATTTTTTTTTTACAGTTATGGGGCTGAATTTTCTTTAGAATGGCAACCAGCAGCATAACGTCAAGAAGAGTTAATTCGTTGAGTCCTAGAGACCCTCGTGAGGCTTTGTTTACTCCGAACAGCCAGAGAAATAAGACAGGAAGGAATCTCTTCCTCTGCCGGTGTTGATCCTCCTCCAGTGTTGTGTTTGGTCCGCTCTCGTCAATTTCCTTTTCTTCCACCCCCATATCCTCTCCTCAGCCAGTTCATACTGTTCCCTCTCTGAGAGGTGTTATGGTGATATTCTCCTCCACATCTTAATACCCCCACCACCGCCCCTTCTCTGTCTCTCTCCTCTCTCTCACAGCCGTGCTGAGTCAGTTCACCCTCATCCTGTGGGGCACTGGACCCAGAGTCGTCAACCCCTCGTCATCCGACTTCCCTCGGCCGTCCAACAACAGCTGCAAAACCTTCGACGCCCAGCAGATCTGTATCGGTGAGATCATTCAGGCTTCGCACAAACTTTGAACAGGAGCCTTTTAAGTGGAATGGGCTCATTTGTATTGGTGCTGGCACACAGTCATTGTTACAAAACAGGCTTTTGGTCAGACTGTGTTGAGTATTTCAACTTGTGAAAAGTGAATGTTGTGAATACAGATTGCCCATTTACGAGCCTCTTTTGCATATGTTTGCCCGCACGCTATGAATATGCACATTGCCATATGTCGTATTAGTTTGAATCAGAGTGCAGGACGTATGGAGGAGCAGCAGGGGAGATTAAGAACTGCGTCAGTGCAAGAGGTGCTACGTTGTCAACAACTGTTCAGGAGGATGACTCCCTCATTGAAAGGCAGATGAGGTCGGAAGCTTCATTCTGCTTCCAAACGTTCAAACGCTTTCTTCTTAATCATTCCAGACTTCTCCATAATTCAGATAAAATCTACATTTCAAGCATTAGTGGGAACACTTTGTTTAAAAGGGCCCCAGTTTCCTTCCTAAAAAATTAACTGGAAGGTTTCTGAAAAGACTTTGTAATTTGGGGATAAGTATATAGAGGAAAAAGGGCACCTCGTTCAGTTTGTACAACTTCCGTTTACTGGTTGTGGCCTTCTTTTGACAAATTAAACATCGAGTCGGTGCACAGGAGATCAGTTGAAAATGCAAATGTGTTTTTGTGTGGTTGTAAATAGAAGTCAAAGAGACAATTCTGCAAATATAAAGACGAAGAGTTCTAAAAAATAAATGAATAGTAACACAGGCTAAATGGTTCTCCGTTTTCCTTTCATTAAGATTCTAGCAGTTCTTTTAAGAAAATTCCTCTGGAAATCAGACTGTGCCCAACCACTCTGTACAGTAACTGTTATATAATATCCTGATTTTTTCATAAACACTCAAATGAATGAGTTATTATGTGTGCTGTCCCAGAACTTCCTATCTCTCTGTAATTAGTAAAAAGATAACTCAAGCATTTGATGGATCCAGATTCTCAAATAAGAGGTTCTGCTGGTTTGTCTTACATTATTGTAAATGGAGATATTCCTGCTTTTGGACTGAAGTAAAAAGCAATTTGGAAGCAGCGCTTTGCTCCCTGGGAAATTGTGATGGCCATTTTTCACTATTTTCTGACCTTTTACAGACAAAGTGATTAATCAGTGAATCACGAAATTAATCAGCAGATTAACCGTGGACCTAAATTATAAGCTATAGCTCTTACCAGTAAAGCTCAAAGGAAATTGAGGAGAAATTATGGGACTTGTAAAACCGGTTATTTGTGGATGTCATTTTGGTAGTGTTTTATTGGATTGTGTGAGGCTTAACTTCCCCTTTTGCTTTCCTCTCACGTTCCATCCAGAGTGCAGCCCCGGCTTCTCCCTGTTCCTCCAGGGCTGTGTGAAGTTATGTCCACCGGGTTTCACCTCGGGGCCACAGCTCCTTAACCTCTCCCTGGAGAACTGGGTGGACCTGTCCTCCGTCCAGGCCTGCCTACCCTGCAACCACGCCTGCCTCACCTGCTCTGGCACGGGGCCTACAGACTGCCTGTCCTGCCCGCCTCACAGCCACCTGGTTCTCACCTCCTGCCTGCACCAGAACCAGGTCCAGCGCAAATCTCCGCTAGCCGGGGGACTCCAGGGTGACGGAGCACAGCCAGAGGGGGAGGTCCCAGCAGCAGAGGACGACAGCACAGAAGGCGAGGAGCCTCCGGGGATCAGCGTTGCTCCGTCCAATCAGCTGCCTGTCATCGTGGCCGTGCTCAGCTGTGCCTTCATCCTGGCTTCCTTCGTCGGGGTCTTCCTCTTGCTGCAGATGCGTTCAGGTGGCGCATCTTTGGGCTGGAGGACCAAACTGCCCTCTGTGTATTCACAGACGAGGGGGGTGCGGGTGGGCTTTGGTTTTGGCTTCGGCCAAGGACAGGAGAGGAAGGCACGGATATGCTACAAGGGGATCCCCACTGTGTGGGGGGACGAGGACATGATCGCCTACCAGTCTGAATCAGACAGCGAGGATGTGGATGGTCACAGCGAGAGGACAGCTTTTATCAAGACGCAGAGCTCGATCTAGCTGAATCCGCAGAATCTGCTGTTGTGGTGTCTGACACTACGACATCCTGGGTTTTATCAGATCTGACTGTTTGGAGCTGATACATGAAGGTGAATCACACAGGCTGCTACGGGATGAAAAAGAAACACATACGCAGGCCTTACTGTTCCATCAGCTTCCCATCCAAATACATTAAAGAGTCGATCATTAGTTTTTGTCATGTATTTATTTATGTTTGTTAATTTATCTTATTTGATTAATATTTTAATGTCAGATGTAGTCATTATGCATTTGACTCACCAGTGGGCACCAAGCTGAGGTGTTATGCAACTGTGTTACTTATTTATAACTTCAAGGAATACTTCACCCACAAAATGACAATTTCTAAATCAGTGAGTCATGTTGTGTTACCTTAAATTCTTGGAGAAAACTTTACTTTTCTTGCATGCCTCCACAGAAAGCAGCAAACATACTGATTGATTGGGGACCGCGTTCTACAAACTATATCAAAACATCAGTTTACAGATTCTCATACAACTCATGCAGTATAATCCAAAGCCCTGTTTTCACCGAGCAGTATGGTACTGTTCAGATCAGTTCAGTATGCATTTTTTCTGTTGTGGATGGTACCAATGGAACCTTTCTGTACCGTCCCCATTTTTGGTCACCCCTCTGTTGGGGTACCTAGCACACAGATCTGGTACTAAAACAAAGAACTGTGAACACTGCAGTCCGATGATTGGTCAATAGCGGACGGTCACTCTGCTCAGGACTGAGATCTGGCTGGTTTTGTAACCTCTGTTCATATCTTGGCAAGTTTTACATTAGTAGACTTTAACTGTAAAATGAAAGGATGTTTGCAGCAGCTGTAGACTTTTAAGGTGGAACATTGACTTGATGACGTGAATCCATCAGCACACCTTAAATTTCAGTTTTTATTGTGTCTCTTGGATGATACAGACTTTTAGTAATGAGTGGATCTTCAAGAGTTTATGTTAACTGCAGATATTCCAATGCTCACTTGGGGAGAAAAAAGCATTGTGGAGAGTCGTTCCTGTGGGCTCCGGCAACACTAAACCCCTGAGCTTGCCTGAGAAGGACTCAATGCACAAACACACTATTTTTAAAAATCCCATGGAGAGAGACTCTCACTGCAGCCTGTCCTATTTTGTTCTGAAAGTGTCGGCACACAGCTTTGTTCAGCGGACAATAAACGAAGTGTAAACGTCCATTTATGTCATGGGTGATGAGGAAATACAGCCAGTGCTAGACGGAGCAGTGAGTGACAACATACCCGGCTACATTTAAGGGTACTGTTTGCAATGGAAACACTAAATGGACCTAGGGTCTAGGTACATGTCTGTTACCCTTGGTTCCAAAGGTACCATACTGAAAATGTTTGGTGGAAGCAGGGCTCAGGTCTCATTTATCAAGTTTTATGCTCAGTGCTTCCCAAACACATGCATTTTCGGCTAACACCTTTATATTCAAAACTAAGACCTGAAAATGAAACTCATCTGTGCTACACTTTTCAATGAAAATGCATGTGTTTGGGAAGTACTGAGCATACAACTGAATAAGTGATACTTGGATTAAGCTGCACCAGTTGTGTGAGAGATTGTAAACAGATGCTTTGATAGATTTGCTGCTGCTAAACCTGATCCCCAGTCAAACAAGAAATCAATATATTCACTGTTTCATGGGGAGGCATGCAAGAAAAACAGAAAGGAGAAAAAGAGAAATGTTTACTTTACAAATTCAAGGTAAAACGGCATGACTAATTGTTTTACAAATAGTCTTTTTGTGAGTGGAGTATTCCTTTAATGACCTGCTTGACCATGTTTTGTCCAGTTTGTCGAAAGGTTAATCTGCCCTCCCATAAAGCTGGAGGACTTACAAGAGAGCTCAAAATTAAAGACACACAGGCCGAGATATCCTGGCTTTTAGTCTCAAGTACAGGTAAAAGGTAAAAAAACAAACCAAAATAAAACATAAATCCTACATTTCCCATAATGCAACTTACTAGCATCTTTCACTAGAGCTCCTCAGCCTGATAAATGCTCATGTTTACCATACTCCGTACTCCCAGTCTCTGAAAAAATGAGTCTCCAAGCTCAATAACAAGTCAAAGCTCAAAATAACCCTGAAGACATCGCCAGGGTTATTGTTAAAGGTTCAATGTGTACGGTTTAGGGAGATATATATTGGCAAAAATGTGTATAAATAACCTAAAAATAAGAACTGTCAAATTTTTTTTTAGCTTAGAATGAGCTCTTTAAATCTCATAGGGAGCAAGTCCTCGTCCATGGAGTCCCCCATGTTGCACCGCCATGTTTCTACAGTAGTCCAGAACGGACAAACCAAACATCAGCTCTAGATAGGGCCATTTGTGTTTTGGCGTTGCGCCACTGTAGTTAGCAGCCCCTCTGTGACAAGCAGCATTGGAAGAATGTGAAACTACTTTGATTAGTGTTTAAATCACCTGGTGCGTTTTTGAGAGGAAGACACCACTACCGGTTATTCAGTTCTTGATAAAACCTCCTCAACGACTTGATCTTAAGTTGTCAGAGACTCTGACATGCCCTAAAGCAGTGGCTGCCAACTGGTCCCACCACGGGGTCCAGATTCCCCCTTAGTCATTAGTTCAAGGTCCACACAGTTTAATATATTCAGCATCATACCTGCATTTGGCCATGTCGTCGAGCTAGTTTGCTGTCTCTGTTCAGTAGCTGTCTGTTGTTCACTAACTCTACAACAGGAAACAGCGCTTCAAAATAAAAGCTTGTGCTTGAAATTCACTGTACTTAAAAAATAGTGTATGTTTTTTTACAAACTTGACACATTTGCGAGTCACTTGAGGTCCATTCAGAATGGACCCATGACCCACTTTTGGACCGCTACCTACCACTTGGGAACCACTGCCCTCAAGGAATCTAACCGGGAGAAGCTGCTGGTTGCAGTCTGCAATCCTCGTCACTAGATGTCACTAAATCCCCTGAAATATTACACACTGGACCTTTAAGGCTCGTCAAAGCTCCTCCAGATTGACAGAAGAGCATATACAACCCTAACAGGCTGAGAGGTACAGTCTGTGACGAGTGAAATGAACTCCATGTGTATAATGGTTGAAGTGATCCTTTGAGCCAGTAGAGTGCATTAAATTCTCACATATGCATCGATTTGTCCCCAACACAAACACCTGGCCATCAGCGCAAGCAGACGTCTCATAAATTGGTGTTATATCTTATCAAATTCTTGGCAGAATGTGGGCCAGGGGTCGTGAAGTTGACACGCAGTTGATTAATAATAAGAAAACTTTAAATTGAAGATTTCTGCAGCGCACTGGGACGGCATAATAAAACATCCCGCTGGCTGTTTGATAAGCAGGAAACTGTGGAGGATGCTCTGTTTTCAATCAAGGCGCAGTGGGAATTGCCACGGCGGCAGAGCCATATCAGATGTATCAGTCACAAAATCTCATTGACTTGTTGTAGAGTAACACTGTTTTTGGATGAAATAAAAAATACTTAGCCAAAAGCTGCCAGGCTGACCTTTGCAACATTTTTCCTCCTGGTTGCTGCGGGTAAGAAATGAGATCATTTTCTCTTCATTTTCCCCACGGAGCATATATTGATTTTGGGGCTTCTCTCCCAGAACATCTTCATCAGGATGAAGCTCTTTCCCTTTCTATTGTGAGTGCCATACATTGAAAGACAAATACATGCTTTATTTGCCCATCTATAACAGTGTGGCCTCCACGCAAGCTGAATCAAAGCCTTTGGATTTAGAGGCCCGAGTGGAGTATAAGTAATGAGATCTTGTATCACATTTTCTATGTTTGTTTTATATATCCTTTTTTATTTAACGGACAATGGGTGTTAATATTGTGGAAATCAGTTTTCATGCTGGAATAAAACGACTTTGGCTGTTGCATAGATAGACTGTTTGTCTCTTTACTGCCAGATTTGAAAACTTTTAGGGGTTTTACGCCTCTTAAACTCAGCCTCTGACACGCAAACACAGCCCGAGAGAGCAGATGGTTCATCACTTCTTCATGGCCGTATATCATTGTAGCAAGTGTGTTTTCTCCACTCCAGGCGTTTAGCTTTAACGGGGTGCCAGCATTCTGTCTGCTGCCTACTATCCAGTTGCAGCGAGCGTGCTGCCAAAAAAAGCCTTGAAGAAACTGTTTTCTCAGGCTTCAATATGGTGGCCCCCTTAAAGATTAAATTAATGTAAATGGAAAAGGTTTGTATGCACGACAGGAAAACAATGCCCGCTGGTAACAGCTTTGTTCATTAGCAGCTTTGTAACACCCTCTACAGAGGCAGGTAACTGGGTTCATGGGTGAAGGTACATTCATTCTGTGGCCCATAATTAGATCTGCGGGGAGAGCTCGCTGCACAATTCAGCGCCCCTCGGATGCATCATTATAAATGCAGCATGTGTGAAAATAAACGTGTGCGTGAATTGGCTTGTGTAGTTGTAAGGTGGATGGGGTTGAAAGTGTTTCGTCTCCTTGTTCACACCTTGGTTGCGTTTCTGAGAGCTGGTTTTGTCTTTTGTTTTTTTTTCCTAATGTATGCCCTTTAGCCTGTATTAATGAGCTGTCATGTTCTGCACAATGCTGCCCACTAACAAGGCTTGGCAACAAGAAATATCAGATTAATTAGATCAACACCAACAAATCAGAGCCCTGTTATCTGATTTCACATTCAGATCAATTAGACACTGAGGTTCCAGTCTCATTATTCCAGCTGGTCAAACAGTATTTGTGCTGAATCTGAATCTGAGAGGCTGAGAATCCAAGTCGGCACCAGCAGAGTCTGGAGTAAGATGCAGCGGCTGAGTGTCCCCAGGGTGTCTCCACAGGCATCACTTCCCCTTGCACACACACACACACACACACACAGCCACTTCATCTCTCCACCACACATGCAGCACAGTGATCACTCTCAGGCCTCAGGCATCCCTGCCACCACACTTTGTCTCCCTCTCCCTCCCAGATCCGTCTTTATGAAGCGTGAACAAAGAAACATTTCTTCTCATGTTTAACTCCTGCTCAATGCTGTCGCAGACACCTTCAACACCTTCGCCTCGCTGACGTGTACACATGGGTGAAAACTTGCTGCTGTTAACTACGTGTGATTTAAAGCGTGGGCTACCACACTGACACCCTGCTCGGCTCAATGTCAGGTGGACTTCTTGACAGCGAACCGCTGACAAGTGACGCACTGGACAGTCTCAAAAGGCTGATGTCTCCAACACTTATCTGACTGGCAGCATCTGTAAGCATGTGCTGCTGTACTGACTCAATGTTGCCCCCTATTGATGGAGAATTAATTGAGCTCTTTTGACCAAAAATACTTGTGCATTAAAAGTTCAAAAGAATCGAATTAATTTCAGATAAAGACAAACTATTGAAAGAGACGCTCTTTATATTTTGATCTTTATTTCAATCCCCATCTTCTCTGTTCTACTGCTGCTTAAACCCATCACGAATAAACAAATACAGAAGAGACCTTGCCTTCATATATTACCTCTGGACAAACAAAAACAGCGCTACAACAGATATCACATACTGAAAAACACATTTATACAGAGACTCAGACACACACCGAAACAGCAGGAGGAAAAAGGTTATGACAAGGTTAGACGACGGGAGAAAGTGCAATTTAAGATGCAGTGAAGTCTGGCTTACAGAATTGTTAACAGCAGCTGGAGGCGGGGGAGGGGGGCAGAGAGGGGAAATCTGCAGTGCTCACAGTGGAGAGAGAGAAAGCAGAATGTGTTGCGCCATGGCAGACCAGACATCAGGCCAGAGGAGGAGAGCAACAAAGCAGCAGACCTCCAGCTGAAAAATGATGAGCGATTAAAGTGGTTGGACACAGTGGGGTGGGGGGGTGGGGGGGCAGAGGAGGGAGGGGGGGGATAGTGGAGCAGTACAAAGTGTGACACAGGTGGGCTGTGAGATGTCCGGCCTCAGCTTTGGACACAGATGACAACATCCTCCACGGCCGTTGTGGAGGCAGATACGCACCAGAAACAGGCTGAGTGCCTCGAGGCAGCCCCCCCAAATAAGAAGCACTGTGGAGCTGAACTCTGAAGAAAAAAAACTGCAGCTCATTTGAAGAAACTTATTTCTTCGGTGTTGAGGATCCCTGCGAATGGTTTGATACGACTTATTTTTAAAGGGTCAGCTCACACAAATTACAAAAATAGATTGTGTCTTGCTTGGCGGCATTTTGACATGCAGACAGTTTTGGTTTGATGTGGCATGGTTTTGAGAAATCCCTCTAGATTTCTACCACTAATGGAGGTGAATGGAAAATTACATCTAAAAATAAAATTAACAGCAACATGTCCCTCCAGAATGAGTGCCCCACCTTTCACACTGTGTCCCAAATCCATACTACAGAGTTAAGATATTCTATTTACGAGCTTTGTAATTCACTTTTTTGTAGTTAGTGTACAAGAAATCATACTTTACTGTTCCAAACAAGCATTCATCCTGCAAAGGCAATCAATCCACAGATTTTGGCGAGGCAGCAAAATATTTTTCGAGTCATATTTTTGTTTTCTGGGGAGTTCCTGGAGCTGTTCCACCACCATCCACACTTAGTTTCAGCAGCTGTGAGCAGCTTCTCCATTTCCTTTGGGCAATGCATAGTCATACACACCCAAAAGTCAAGCATTTTTTTTAGTATGCACACTGTCACTTTTCCAGAGTGAACACTGCAAACTCAAAACCTGCTTATAATTAGTACATAGTGTGGCATTGGTGCTTAGTAGAAAGCAGTCCCAGTGAAATTGCCTCACAGTGAAAGCTGTGGATTATCCCTCAGTGATGGGGACACTTTTTCTCGAAGGACCAGTTGCCAATTTATTTTTTTTATACAAAAATTATTCCATTCTGCTTCATTTTATTGGTGTGGTGGCAGAAGTGTCAGAGACAGATTTAGTGCTGAAACAATCACAAGAAAATTAGCTGACAGCAATTTGGAGAATTATTTCACTCACTGTTCATTTACTACAAAAACGCCAACGATTCCCAGATCGCAGCTTCTCAAATGACGATGGCTTTTTTTTTTTCTATTTAAAATGATTGAAAAATCTTTAATACCTCTGGGTTTTTGCTGTTTGTACAAAACAAGTGATTAAAAACACACATGGGGTGGGCACGTTTCACTATTTTCTGACACTTTATCGACTTAATGAACAATCATTAGTGGCAGCTCCAGACAGATATCTCAAAACCAAATGTATCTGCATGGCCCGATTTTGTAATTTGAGTGAACTAACCCTTTCATTTCTCTTCTGATCATCAATGGGAAGCTCACTTTGTCCTGCAATGATATGACCCATGACTCGACACAGATAAACTGATCAATGAAGCCTAACAGTACTATGAATGGTCCCTGATAGAGTGCACTGTGTCCTCAATACACCCAAAAATAAACCCTCAAATATTCACATTAACATACTCTACAGACGCACACACACGCACACATACTGATATATCTGTCGTATGGTATATATGAGGTAAAGTCTTTGTCTAGTCTTCTACTGCATACAGTATGGTACACAGAACCACCCTCTCAGCAGTGAAGTACGAGCACAGGAATGATGGACAGAGGCTTGGAAACACACAGATTTCCAGTTTTCTCGTCAGGAAAGAGGAAGCTCAGGGAGGGAAAAAGAAGTGAAGGAAAGAAAGTCTTCCGACTATCTACAAGCAAAACCAGCCAACAGAAGGTAAACAGTCATCCGATATGATTAATGATCACATTGTTATCGGCGGTGACCGAACTGGGACTCTTGGACGCAGACATACGATAGCTTAAAGAGCCGCAGCTTGGGTCTCCTCGTGAGCTGAGATGAAAGAGACCACACATTCTCTTTGCTGCATTCGAGTCTGTCGAAAAGAAAAAAAAAAAATTGACAAGTACAAAAACAAATTGTCGTGATGTGTCTTCTTCATTGCATACATAAAAAAAAAAAATATAAACCCATACACCAAATAAAGCTTTGTAAATTGCACTCTGATGTGGCACGAGTCCCAGACCCCCCCCTCCTCCCGTCATTTGGGATATTTACATTCAGTAGTTCAGTCCAGGATGGAGCAAAGATAGAAAACGATGAGTTCTTACAAAGCAGAATTAAATGAGATTTCATTTTTTCGATTACAGAGACAAACAGACACCCGGTTGTATCTGATGAGCGATTCTGGCAGTCCTTCTTGGTTTGGAACAGCTGCGAGTTCACCAGGGTTTAGCTGCTCTCGGAGACGTCCACAGTAACAGCTATCGCCTGCCCCCTGCTGTGCAGTCAGTCCTGTTACAGTGGTACCTTCCTCTCCGAGCTGTAGTGTTCGTGGTTCTGCTTGACAAAACAGAGACACCCAGACCCCCCTCTGTTGCCAGTCTGTGGCCGGCGTTGGCCTGGTTCTTGGTCCATGGAGTATGGTGGGTTTTTTATTGCCTCTTTTTGTCTGGACGGCTCTTAGCGCAGTTTGAGCTTGAAGGCGGAGATCTCCATGGGATCCAGACTGATGGTGGAGTCGTTGGCCAGGGGCGCACTGGAGTGCATCAGAGTCAGGGACATGGGCTGGAGCAGCTGCAGGTCCAGGTTCTTGAACAGTCCTGATACGCTCAGCTGCACAGACAAGGGCAGGAGGGCAGAGAGTGTTAGAAGCTAAACAAGCTGCTTTGCTCAAGTGAGAATGCAAATGTGGGGATGAGGATATTTCAAGTTTCCTCATCCCCGCAAAACAAATCCAACGGTGGAACAAGTAAATAATTTCATTAAGCAAAAGCAGCAATAACACACTTTAAAAAAAAACACTCCATTTCAGCCACAAACTCTGCATTCAAATTCTCACCTGAGTAAAAGTAAAGAAGCAACAAAATGCTCTTTAAGCATCACCAGTTAAAGCACTCATTATGAAGAATGGCCCCTGACAGTGTTATTATTATATTATTGGATTGTTATTAATGTTGCATTAATATTTAAGCAGCACTTAAACGTTCAAAGCATAGCTAACTCTAACTGCTTTATGGAAGCTGCAATAAAGCATCATATTTTCCATCACACATATTAATATGAAAGCCAAACAGCAGCTACAGCTGTCAGATAAATGTAGAGGAATAAAACGTACAATCATTCCTTCTAAAATAAAATGGAGTAGAAGTATATAAAAGTAACATAGAACAGATTGTGAACACACTCGCTGGCAAGAATGAAAGTAAAAAAGCCAGCCCCAGACTGACTCTCGTTTGGTGTTTCACCTCGCTATATTTGCTTTTTTTGCCACCGTTTCTCTCGAATGCCTGCTGCTTACAGTCTGACACCTGGTCACTACCTTTTTATAAAGTCTAGACCTCACCTGAGCACTGTGGGGTCACACACCAATAAATGTCCTGAACACAGGAAATAAGAAAATACAGGCAGAGGGCAGAGTCTGTGCAGAAAAATGCACCTCCACAAAGTTCTTGTGGATCATAAGTGATGATTGAGAGGGATTACGTCTGGACATTGTTTTTTAAGAAAACTGCATAGTATATCTTAGAGCAAAGCAGTGTACTCAAGTGCTGTACCTGACTAAATGTACACTGTCACAGCCAAACAAATCACTGCTCGTGCAAAAAGGACTGAGAGTTTAGTGGAAAATACAGCAGACTGATTATTTCTCTTTTGTTTGAGTGTGTGTGTGTGTGTGTGTGTGTGTACTTGTACATGCTACACAGTGGGGACCAAAACCTGTATTTTAGCAACAGAGTGAGGACATTTTTGTGAAGTGAGGACATTTTGGCCGGTCCTCACTTTTTTAAAGGCCTGTTTGAGGGTTAAGACTTCAAGTTAGATTAGGTTTATGTTAGGGTTAGGATAAGGCATTTTGTTGTGATGGTTAAGGGTAGGGTAAGGGGCTAGGGAATGCATTATGTCAATGAGGATCCTTACAAAGACAGAAGTATAAGAATGTCTGTGTGTGTGTGTTTGTGTTTCTACCCTGACCTGTCCTTGTGTGGTGGTGCAGTTGAAACCCAGGTTCTGACTCTCCAGACCACAGTCCAGCGCCAGACGATGAAGAAGCAAGGCCGTGTATGGAGACGGAGAGTTGGGGTCCTGCTGCTCACACAGGAGACAAGAGTCAATTTCGAAGTAAACACACAGAATATCTAAAACCAAAATTGGTATGTGTGTTTTTTATTTCTCGTCACCTGGCCTTGGATGCTGCGCAGGTTCAGCAGGTGGAAGTCGCAGGGGAGGATGGACTTTAGAGGGGCGAAGGTCTGTAGAGGAGGGATGCCGCGTCTTTTGGGCAGGACGGGCAGCGCCAGGACTTCGTGGTTCAGGAAGGAGTTGGTCATGTGACTGAGTATGGATGGGAAGCTGGTTGTTGCACTGTCCATCATCTGGAGGGGGGTTGGAAACAGATTTAAGCCACAGAGGGTAAGTGACAGTGTAACTACAAAGACAGCAATGACTCACCTCTAGAGCCATTGTTCTGCTATGACTGCACTACATGAGGAATGGGCTCTAACTGTGTCTCTGTCAGAGTATGAGGTATATTTCTAATTCTAGTCCAGACAGACACAGTACTAATCGATCTATATTGGGTTTGTTACAGCGACAGCATCGGTCATTTTTAAATTAAGAGCATTACAGCGTTTCAAACATGACGCTTGATGTTTAGTGGCAGGCCAGAGCAACTTCATCCCGAGCCCATCAGCAGTTTTATGAGGGAGCTGGATGATAAAACTGCAACCAGTGCTTTCTATTCTCTGCCAATGTGTATTCATTTACTTGATAAACAATATCATTTGTTACTTTCAATGCCACTGTTGTAAAGATGGACCGAGTTGGCTACGGCTACGAGGTGAAGGGAAGCAAAAAATAGGAACTGGAGCTACAGCAAAGACAACGATGTTGGCTACTAACAAGCATCCTCACTGTTGCTGTGGCAACGTTACCTCTTGAACTCCGCCACTCAAGATTTTGGAGAGGAAAGAATGAAACAAGGAGGAGAGTTTGGCAAAGAAGCCATCATGCTGAAGGTAATGAAGTGGAAAAACAAAGGGAAACAAAGTTAGAGTGGAGCAGAGAACAAAAAGACAGATGGGGCGGTAATGAGTACTGACAAAAGATATGAACAAAGGTGTTAATGAACACAGACTGAAGGACAAAGCGCTGTTATATTGCACAGCTTTGCCCAGGTCTTATAGAGAGTAATTTAGCACCCCAGAGTCAGATGTGGTGTGCTGCAATTTCAAGAGCGCAATAACCGCCTTTGCTGTCACCCTGCTGACCTTGTTGCCCATGGACCTCCTCTCCAGCAGCAGTCTGAAGCGGTTGGCCGTCTTCTTGTTGTCTTTTAGGCCCTGACCCAGCCCACGGTTATCATCCTGCATCAGCCGCCGGTCCATAATCACTTCAAGCTGGCCTGAGGGAGGAGGAGGAGGAGGAGCGAGGATGGCATCTATTACACAAAGCCTGTGTATTGAACTTTCGGACATCAGTCGATGAAGACAAACACTTTGAGCTATTTGTCATTTTACAAATGCCTCCGTTATTCACATAACAATGATAAAAGGATTAGCTCGGTACATTAACGTGAGAGTATGAACTGTTTTGCTCTCTGAAAAACCTCTCGAGGGACAAGAGGCAGAGATAAGTGCTTCAATACCGTTCCATACAGAGCTAGAGATGGCAAACAAAGAAAAAGAGAGCACTCTTTCAAAGATAGCTTTCATTAAAAATGAAATGAAGAAAAACGACACAACATTAAATAAAAAGTAATAAAACACAGACCACTCTCCAGACTGGTGACACCCAGGGACTGAGCTGTGTGCAGCGTGAGGCGGTGATGGCTGTCCTGGATGTACGCCTGGCTGGGCATGGGATAAAAGTTGGCCTGCAGGGGAAGTTTTAGGTAGTGGCGACGAGGCTGCATCTACAAGAAAAGATCAAACTCAGAATGACACAGTACTTCAAACTTAAAGCGCAAAGAAAGATGTGAACTTTTCAAGTCAGGGATAGTTAACTTGAGAGATACATATTGCGATATTCTCAAGTTTAAAAATCTCTCTGCCCCATTCTCTGGCTACTATCAGCTGACTGTGGGCGTCACTCTAAATTAATCCAACCAGATTTTACCCCCATCTCCCTAAGCCAATCATATTGTTGCTGTCAAACTTTACAAATGTTCTCCTCTCTGTGGCTGTCAGGTGTCAGATCAGGACGAAGAGATGTGACCCCTCTCCACCTCATTTACCCCCTGTGTTCTGCACATCCTCTGCCCAGTCCTGGTGCGTCTGGACTACATCAGGGGAATGTTCCTAAACTAACCATGGCATCTCTACTCTCTTAAATATACTACGTCACAATGTTATCTTATTGCTTTCCTTATTGCTTTTCCACTGCCGAGGGTGGGACTGACCTGGAAGCCATTGAGATCTGTGTAAAAGACGTCTCCACTCTGGATGTCTGTGACCAGTCGCATTGCCAGCTCCTTATTGGTCTGATCTCTGATGTCCACCATGGTGGTGATGTCTATAGACAACCCATCCACTCCTGCAAATACAAAACCATAAAGAACCAAACTCAGGCTACAAAGGGAAATGAGTGGAAAAATGCAGTCTAAAAAATGCCACTTTCAGAAAGTATTTTGCCAGCTGAAAATAAAAACAAGGCTCTTCACAAGTAGAAAAAAAAGGACTTAATTTCATTATTAATTGTTATTAATTTTGTAGAACATACTGGCCCTTGTTGTACTGTACCATCTGGTGCGCTTAACTAAACATAAAAAGCTTTTGCAAAGGCCATTTGAACCGATTCCATTGTGCAGTTTTGTTTGATTATTACCTGGCACATTGTGTATGCGAATGGTCTGCTGAAAATGCTGGTAGTGTGCCACCACTTCCGAGAAGAGAGGCCCCTCCACAACTCGCACCACAGGTGGCTCTTTCTGGTTGTAGGGCTGAAAGCAGGATGTGAGGAAATGTAATCATGAACAGAATTTGTGCTAAAAATGGGACAGGAAGGACGAGAAAGAGACAGAGGGGAGAAGCCAGAGGAGCAACCAACAGAATGTGTGACTAGATACAGTATGGCAGCTAAACCCTTACGCTCTTGTTGTCTTTAAATCAAGGAGAGATGAAGCAGCACCCAGTCTGCCTACATTCCTGCCCTGAGCACCCCAGCATGGTACAATGACACAATACCCAAGAGAGACTCTATCAAAGCCTTCTGAGAGGCAAGGAAACATCTGAGATACAACAACTGAGAGAATACCTTTGCTTTTCCATCAGGCAGGAAGAGGTAAGCTCCACTTTTGTCTTTAGAGGGACGGGTGCCGTAGACCATGAACTGCATCTGAACCTTCACTTCCTGGGGATCATCCTTGCGCTTGATGCTCTGCGGATGGAAAAAAAACGCCACAAAGAGGAAGAGAGCACAGAATAATAAAACAGAATTAGAAAAGAGATGAAAGGATGTTTGAGTAGCAACAAGACATGCCCTGTTCACTTTGATCAAACAGCCAGGGTTTATTGGGAAATCAAGCTCACGGCCTTTTTTTTCTCCAAAAAGATCAAAGTTAAAAAAAAAACAAAAAAAAACAGATGAGCAAATCCTTGATTCAGATATAAAGTCAACTTGTGTAAGAGCTGATAAAACACACACCTCCAGCAGGCCAGTGGTCCCAGAGAAGCCCAGGGTGAGAGACTGGCTGCTGATGTAGAACGTCTGAGGGTCGGACTGCTGAGAGCGGACTGGAAGGGGGTCCGCGGCTCGAGCAGTTGCGCCCCGACCTGACAGCCTCAGCAGGGTGTCAGAGCGGAGCGTCATGGGCGAGTCAGGCGAGTCGTAGAGATGGAACACAGCCAGGCCCAGCGGCGGCACACGGACCATGAACGTTGCCTGGATGAAGGTGGATATAAAGACATAGAGCATTCACACACACAAAGAATTGAACAAACACACAAAAGCCTGAGTTTTACAGTGCTGGCTTCATTTTCTTATTATTCTGAGCAGCGAGTGTTGACCATAAGCCATTCATTAAAAGTTAAAAGCATTTCGACATTAGCAACAGTGTGCTATAATTAAAATGTGATGAGAGGTGGTGTTAATGAGTCTCTTTGTGTTTCTCTGCTACATTTAAATTCACTGCTTACTGTGGGTGGAAAATGTATTTGGGCACAATAAATGAATCTACAGAGATGTGCTGAAGCAAAGGGGAAGGGTTTTTTTTTCTTACTACTGCAGATTCAGTACGCATTATGAGCTGATTCAATGGGTGTGTTTGTTTTGTTTTGAGAACTGAAATTAAACACATCTGTTCCAGTGCTTGCAGGTAGAGATCAACAAGAAAGATGAAAACTACACACTCAGAGATCTGAGGCCCTTTTTATTCAAAAATCTCTGTTTTGAAGCGTTTTAATTTTATTTCTACATCACATTACAAACATTATCTTGGCTTCTGTCAAAGTAAAACTTCTCATTTCTATCCAGACACACACAGGCTCTATCTTTTTTCCTTGCTTTCTCTCTCTGGGAGTAATTTAGGCTACTTAATTCATTAGGCAAGATGCATAATGGTACATGGAGACAGCTAAAAAAGTACTTCTCTGATTTAGCATTGCTCTCCTATTACATCGTTTTACTCACAATGGACACGATTGATGCAACACTACCAGAGATGCCATCCTTTTTAATATAGGCGTTCTTCCTCCTTGTCAAAAAACTGGTGCCTACACTTAGGGATGACATCCCTCGGATCGGTATCGGCCACCGATATTAGCAAAAAACGTGCATCGACATCAGATCGGACTGCATGGAAAAATGCCGATCCAAGAACTCCGATCCAGTTTTTCACGGAATCCGATCCAGGTTTTCTGGCCAGCCCAGTGCTCCGCGATTCAAGCAGTCCATTCCAGTGATCCGCTCCAGCTCTTACTATCAATCCACCAGGCCAGCATGCAGACGGCAGACACGCATGGAGGGAAGGGTGGGAAGAGTAGCAGTCAACTTAGTTAACTGACTATTTGTTTTCTGCTCTGGTTTTTTTGAGAGTGATATTTTTATTTGGTTTACACTCTTACTGTTTAAGTAAAGAGCACTCATGGCATTGTTTTGAGCACAATTAGTGAAACTGGAGCCATGGATGGACTATTGCTTATATTGTGTGCCTGTGCACCAGGCTGGCACTGACACTTGTTAAATGTCAACAATGTCTTGTGGTGTTAATCTTTTTTTTATTTATTAGGGGGCCAAAGCACAAGTGTGTGGAGTCTTGCTGCTATTTTAATTTCAGTGTTAGACATTTTAAAGATTTCTTGTGTTGATTTATTTTCTATTTATTAAGGGGCCAAAGCAGCCAAAGAAAACCAGCTATATTTTTTATTTAATGTTAATGTTCAAGTTTAAAGTTTGTTTATTTAACCCTGTTCACAATAAATGGGTCAGTTTCTCATACCAACTGTTGTGGATCATTCTAACTAACCCGATTAAGTAGTTGTTCTTGTTAGAGTAATATTGCTTGATCAAACCCTTTCTAACATGACTGACAACAAAATAAGTGAATATGTATAATACGCGCTTGGATCGGATCGGTATCGGCCAAAACTCAAGGCTGTAATATCGGTATCGGATCGGAAGTGAAAAAGCCGGATCGGGACATCCCTACCTACACTTCCCCCAATGCAACACAGCTGCTGACAGTTCGCACATTAAGTGTCTCTATAGTCTATTTTCTATTAACTTAAAGGGGACCTATGATGCTTATGCTCAGCTTCACACCATAGATGTATAAAGAGAAGTGGCTGAAGCATTGGAGGTGTTCCTATGAAAGTTGCTCAGTGGTGCATGAAGGCAAAAAAGTTCAACTGCTGCATGTACAAAACTCAGATGATGGGCACTGCTTCCGCACTGTGTGGCCCATGGAGCAGGTGCACTACAGATTTCTGCCGGCTACTTCCAGTTTCCCTCTCCACTACCTTGAATGGAGATAAAATGATTCAATTATGTGGCTCTTCTAGACTTTCCCAATTTTATCAGACCGAATGGATCAAATAAAACAAGTTATTTTGCAAGAGTGATGCTCAAAATGCTTCAATCACTGATGTACAAACGTCTCTTTTGTCTTGTAAGTCCAGGGGGAAAAGTCTTTTTGGGTGCAGGACATCACGTGAGAAATGTAATTACACTGTTTGGCCACTACAAAAACTGCCGTCAAAGCTAAGCACACTTCCTGGGGGCCTGGTTTGCAGCCATAGTTTGGGTATGTACTAGACCAGTGGTTCCCAGCAGGTCCAGCCACAGAGTCCAGATTTCTCCTCGGTCATTAGTTCATGGTCCACATAGTTTAAAATCATTAGCGTCATACTTGTGTTTGGTGAAGTAGCTGTCCATTAGTCGATTACTCTACAGCAGAAAATGGCACGTCAAAATAAGAGCTATGCGAGAGAAATTCACTGTACTTCAAAATAAGGTGTGTTTCTTACAAACTTGCAGTCTATTCAGAATGGACCCGCGACCCACTTTTGGACCACGACCCACCAGTTGGGAACCATTGTAATAGAACATGTTTACATGCTTTAATGTTCCAAAAACACTTTATATTACTCATACTGTCCATGCTGGAGCACCTGTTTTCACCCTCTGTCATAAATGCTGCATTTTTGTGCCCGTCTCTTTAAGACCCACCCAAAAAGCCCAGTCTGCTCTGATTGGTCAGCATCTCCAGGTCTCACTGTCTCTAGACTCTGTCACAGCAGCAAGAGATTTCATGTAACAGAGTAGCAGGACTTTGTTGTGAAAAATCACCAGTAAGAGCTTCTAAACAAAAATCTCCACAACCAGACATGTTCCAGCAGGAATAAAAAAAAATAACAAAAGAAATTAACAACATTAGCAAGGCAGGTTACAGGTTTCCCTGACGTTAGTATGTAACTACATGTAGTAGTGTAGGTTACATGATGTAAACACTTGCAGTAGTGTGTCTGGAGCAAATGACCATATGAAGAAATCAGTCACAAACTGGCGTCAGCTTGTCTTGAAAGCAGAAGAAAAATTGGAGACAAAGTATTCAGAACGCCCTGAAGCCTGAGGTTTTTGTTCACAGGGATTACTTTTACCTACATTTACTTTTTTATCTGAAAAACTTTAGCCATGTTTTATATAAACACCCAACATTTTAACATTATATAAATGGCAGGAAATAAGTAGAGCATAATAGGTCTCCTTTAAGCACATGGCTAAAACAGATCCAGTGTAGACAATGATGGAGAGCTGTGCAAACACTGCTGCTGTGCTATGTTCCTGATATGCCAATTTGACTATGCAAAAAAACAGCCGTGTCAGATAAATTTAGTCTCTTACCTCAAATACCTCTGCACTCATTTGACTGGCAGAGCTCCACTGAGCACTCAGCTGCACAGGGAGGGTCTGTCCATCCTCAGTAAGCACCCGCACCCTGACTGTGTTGACCAACACGGTCACCACGCACAGACGCTCCTGCTCGATGGGGTTAAACAGAACCAGGTATCTGGTAGTGAGGAGGGAAAAAGCAATCATAAGCACAGGATGAGCGAGGAGTGGGAGGTAGGAGGCAGCGGAGATGAAAGATTTCAGGGGATGCAGATAATACCTCGGCCCTGCTGGGTCCAGCTCGATTAAAGTGCGCTGAGGCAGAGAGTCTTGAGTAGCGCGCCTGTCATCCTACAAGATGAAGTATATGACACAGAAAACACACTGAGAAAAATGCATATTTTGTTCCTTCTGTTAATTTTCAAACAGTTTATTATACAGTGGCGGGAGTGTCCCTCTGTGTTCCCTCTTACTGTCTCCAGGAAGGGCTCCGTCTGGTAAAAGCGATAAAACTCTTTGTTTTTCATCACCAGGAAATGAGCAGCATTGATGATTACTCTTTTCAGGCCGATGAGTGAACGCAGTAATCTAGGGAGGAGGAGGAAGAATCAATGGCTGACTGCAGCAGTCACAGCAGATGGCTTGTTTTTTGCTTCAAAGTATTGAACGGGTGGGTATAAAATAGCCACAGAGACAGAGGATTAAAATGAGGTGGCACAGTTTTTCTTTTTCATACAAACCCTGTTTTTTAAAAAAGAATTTAATCTACCCGATCCATATTGTCATTTCTCTCTAAACCCTCAGAACCTCACCTGGTGCCGTAGTCTGTGACAACATTCTCCTTCGCAGTGCCGGTGATGGCATCGTGATGTTGGAAGAGGCCAACAGAGCGCCTCGCGTCAACTAGCAGGGCATAATCTGAGACTGGGTAGCGCCCTTCCATGCCCGCGTGCCGAGCGTTTGCAACCGCCAGACTGTAGAGGATCTCTGCCCCCCTGAGGGACACAGACAAAGAGTTAGCACTGAGGAGCCTCTTAGTGGCTTTGTGTAGTCAGCTCATATTAGTGGTGTCACAATACTGGAATCTCCAACTTCTATTTAATACCTTGAAAAATACTGATATTTGATACCATTTTTCATACGGGAAAAAAATGACACTGAGGGCATACTGTTTAAAAAATGTTATTAAAAGATAGATATAAGAAGGCTGTAACATGACAACGACTTCTCTTTTCTTAGTTAGCAGCAGAACAGCAGAATAATTGTAGGAAACATTAACAATAAGTAACTAGTTTAAATACATTCATTCCTTTTCTGTAACCGCTTATCCTGTTAGGGGTCGCAGCTGACAACTGACATTGGGCGAGAAGCAGGGTACATCCATACTATTGCAAGGCAAACACATAGAGACAGACAACCATTCATATTCACACCTAAGGCCAATTCAGAGTCACCAATTAACCTGCATGTCTTTGGACTGTGGGAGGAAGCCGGAGCACCCACAGAAAACCCACGCTGACACAGAGAGAACATGCAGAATCCGCACAGAGGGGCTCCTCCACCCCAGAGTTCAAACCCCCCCCCCTAGATTTGAACCAGGAACCCTCTTGCTGTGAAGCAACGATGCCCAGGGCAAGTAAAATGCCACGTCAGGCTAGTAAATCTAGCAAATCACTTGCCCAAACAGACAATTAGTAAAAAAGAATTAAACACATCATTTTTTTTTAGAGCTGATGATGGGGGTGAGCCATCTCGCTTCCTTCTTATCTCTATTGAGAGTTGCACATGTGCAGTACCAATTAGTCTTTGTTATTTGGTAAATGCCAATGAATAAAATAATTTCTATGGGAGCACGTATCAACTGACTTCAGGCAAGTAGATTATTGACCAACTTGCCCAACCAGGCAAGTGAGAAAAAAACATTATTGTTGGACCGTGTCCTATGCTGTATTTTGATTTGGATGGTGCCTTTAATTTGTAACCAGGATCATGCAGGTACATGTCCGCACCTTAACCCAGTACGTCAGACCAATGCACACCTTGTTTGCAATGCAAAGAAGAAGAAACAAAGTGCCTATTGTTGTATTCACTCACACAAACAGCTCCAGTGTCATAAATATGCCTCAGGTTGTGGGTGTCAGGTATCAGTGATGTGTGGTTAAATCCGCCTCACCTGAGATGTGACTCTATGACACGGTCCAGGCTCTTGTAAAATGGCCGAGAGGTGAAATAACCGGTCCAGTAGTGGTCCTCCCGGTCCGCATAGGCAAAGAAATCTCCACTAAGCACTGGGAAGTCTGCGGGTCTGGATCCCTGGGCCACTCCGTTCGCTTTGTATACAGCATTGAAGTAGTCTGTGAGAGTCCCAAACTGAGCCTGGAGGATCAGCCAGACAGATGACAGACATTGTTCAAAAGAAAATTTACTCAAACACAGCTGTACAGGGAAGAAAAGGAAGTTTCTCATTATAAAGCACACGCCTTTCATCTTACATGGCATCTTCTGAACCAAACATTGAGTCGTGACAGATTCTTTGTTCTGTCAGCAAGTTAAAATACCACTGCATGATTCATTATTACAAGAAAGGCTGTACAGAGCGATACACCACACACTGCAACGCACAAAAACAATAAAAAAAAAAAAAGATGCAAAAGAACAAATATTTGGCAACAATGTTTGTGACAGTTGACAAATCATTTTCTCACTTGTACGTGCATCTCTGGGTGAGAATTCATGTAGTCAAACAGCTTCTGATAGTTGATATACTGCTGATCCCATTCCAGCGCCTTGTCGTAGCGGAAGTCATCTCCCAGGGGAACGAGAAGCACCTTGCTGCGGTACAGTTTGGACTTTTTACGGTATTGATCCAGGAGCAGCTGTGCCCTGATTGAGGAAGAGGAGAGAGAAAAAAAAAATGGGGACACATTTTTTGGCATCCAAACTGCCCTGCTTTGCATCAGCCAGATTTGTAGGGAAATCACTATAACCTTGGAAAGAGGAGGATCAAATTAGCCCTGGGGGTGTTTTCCATTAGCCACATGTCCTCTGGAAAGTTCTGAAAAGACTATCTGCAGTCCGGGTCGGTCTCCCACCGTTCAGCCACCCTCTCTGGCTGTTGTCACTGGCGCAAGTTCAAGTTCGGTTTATTTGTAAGGGACCATTAGAGATAACACGGAGAGTTTTGCAACAGCAGTGACCAATCTGCTGCGCATGTGTGTATTCTACATCCACGTAAAACAAACAAACAGTGTTGACAAGCTCAGCTTTGGTTATATAAGGACAGACCCAAGAGCAGAACATTTTACAGTTTGGTGGGCAAACAGGGTAATGGAAACACTGTCTCTAAATAGCAAACATAAAAACAGATGTTTTGCATTTTTGTATTGCATTTCCTGTTACTAAAGGGCCAACATACACACCGCAGCTGTAATCATTTTCGTTATGGATTAATCTGCCCATTATTTTCTCATTTAATCCATTGGTCTGTACAATCTCAGAAAACAGTGAACCATAGCCCAATCTGATGACCTCAAATGTCTCGTCATGTCATTATACTATCACATAAAACAAAGGAAAACAGCAACTGCTTACCTTTAAGCTGTAACTACAGAACATTTGGCATTTTTACTCAATGAATAACTTAAACGATCAATCAATTATCAAATTACAGATGCAGATACGTCCTCTGAGAATCAACTTAGTGACTAATCAGCTCTACTTTCAACTCTATGATACCCTTTTTCCACCAAAATTAGTGCACAGATGCTGGTTTTTCAAACGCAGAATAATCCGCTAAAAATAGCCAATAGACTCCTTTCCAATGCCAGTAGATGAGTATGAGTTTTTTTTAACTTTGTCACATTCCACGTCACAAATATGTCTCAAACAAACTTCTTTTTTTTAATATCTGTTTCTCATTTGTCTCTTTTAAACTTGTTGCTGACTAATTTGATGTTAGAGCACTGCTTGGACGGAGTCAGACAGAACTTGTGACTGAGATGACAAAGAGTCACATAAGTTACCGACACTCACATTCACAACTATGGTGCAATTTGGAGTCACCAATTAACCTAACCTGCATGAGACCCAGGAGAGAACCCACGCTGACACGGGGAGAACATGCAGGCACCAGAAAAGGGGTGAAAATTAGCATGTCCTCCCTGAGTGTCATGGTTCCATCACTGCCAATCAGAGCTGGAGTCAGTGAATACCAATATCTACTGCCAAGTCATTTCTCCCAGTAATGAATGCCCATTCTAACCTTTCCCACTAAAGATAAAATCAGACGTTAGTGGGTTTTTTGTCCAGCTGGAAAAGAACTCTATATGCCAATAACGATATATCCGCAATAATTAAATTTCAGCTGATGTATCAGCCCAGCCAATGTATCGATCTAGCTCTAATAAGCATCTGAAAATTTGTCTCACCTCTCTGCTACATTGGCTTCCACCACAGTCTTTGGCGGCACTTTCCAGGGACAGTTTATCCGACCACCTGGCAACCTCTTGAAATCGAACTGGCAGCATATCTTCGGGTCGGGCCCACACGTGTGTGGCACGTCGTAACTGTAGAATGGCATCATGTGGCAAAACATGTCTGTGCTCGATCCCGTGTCTGTGAAAGCAGTAACGTGGAAGTCAAAACACTGGCTTGTTGTTCTGTTGTTGTTGACAGCAGCCTCAAAAGACCAGGATCGAAAACACTGATAAGTTCTGCTCTGAGTAAAGGTGGTATTTGTGATGATACACAACAGTGCTCATAAAAAAGTCAAAAGTCCTTCTGTATAAAGCAGCAAAAATTACATCCTAAAAAGAACCGAGTAGCACAAATTGATAATATCTAACAGTGTAATATCGGAGGATTTCACCGTGAAGAACAAACGGACAGTAAATCTTCAACAGATGTCCAATTCATTAAGAAATAATAGCGAAGATAGCGCTTCTGAGGATATTACACAGTGGTAGTTCTTCTAAAACGTCCCTCTCTTTCAAAGGCCATGAGAGGTGGCATGACTCATTCTGCAATAAGCTTAACAAAGATAAGCACATGAATCAGATGACATAGTTGGCACCGGTCCACTCACCCCAGGCCTGCCTCCACATAAACTCCAGGCTGCGGGTGGAGGCAAAGTGTTTTTTGATTGAGTAGTGGACCCTCTGGATGAGCATGCTGGTCAGGTTAGCCCTCTTCAGCAAGTAGGGCATGGTGGCACTGTGACCGAAAGGGTCTACCGCCCACCCACTGCGGGGAGTTATACCTATGACGGTGAGCAGGGAGCAAGTAGTTCAGGTTTATGCTCAGATAAAGGAAGCAATGCATCTTTTAGAAAATCATTCTCCCCAGCAGGGAGCAGGGAAAGTGGCACAAAGTATTTTATCACCCACTGAGTGAGAGGCTACACCTGCTGCATGTGGGATGACAAGCTTAGATTTCACCATCAATCCCTGAGGGAATGAGGATCATTTTGACTTTTAAATGTAGTGAGAAGAATTGGAATGATGGCAAAAGGCCTAGAATTTCACAGAGAGAATAAGAGCGTCTTTCACATTTAAGCCTCATTCGTCAAAATACACAGAGAAACACTCCAGTAAGGAATTGTTTCTGATTATGTACCTAGATTTCTCTCCAGCCACTGATGTCCTTCGATGAGCTGATCTATCATGGCAAAGTAGTGAACATTGGCTTCATCTGTCATAACCCAGCCTCCTGTGACAATCTCAAGCTGCCCTCCAAGGATCAACCTGTTGAACAGAGAGGATTAAGATAGCGAGGTGAGGATAATCTGATCCTTAAAAGAGGAGAGTCACATTAACCAGATAACAAGCTATTTTTAAGAGCAAGCACAATCTGCCAGCAGATACTATCCATCACATTAAATACTGGAACATAAGGCCAGCTGGCATCAAAGAAATCTCAACTAATTTTCAGTGAGGTGTTTAAATTAAAGGCAAAACTGTGTTCTTCTCTGAGCTGTGACTCACTTGCGCATTGCCTCCTGCTTGTGTACGTCTGCGGTTTCCCACCACTTGGAGAAGAATGAAATCTCAGACCAGATGAACTTCCTGCGAGGATCCTCGGCCAGCTTTACCACCATGTTGTTTAAAATATGTTGCGTCTGGTCTGTGAAGTACTTGTCAAAAGTCTTGATCCAACCTAACAAGACAAGAGGATAAAAAAAATGAACAACTTACACAACAGTTGGCAAACAGACTGCCCGCTACAAATTGGACTGTCTCTGAAACAACACACCCCTACCAACACCACCACCCCCACCACCACCACCACCCCTTAATGTAGCTGGCTGATACAAAAGGCAAGAAGACAAGGCAGGTACGAGGCTAAATGCTGTGGGAAAAAAAAGTGCTGCAGCAGATCAAAAATAAAACTCATATTTTATTCAAGTTGAGCTGTTCCCCCTCAGAAAGCTATTTAGCAGAGTGGTTTCAAAGAAAATGACTAAAAAGCACTTTCTGTGCACTTCTTGTGTGCAACAGTGTAGAATACCAAAGTCTATAAATATCCCGTCAAATATTTATCTCGCATATGGAAGTCTAATATATTTCACAGAGATCAAAGTTCCACATCATTCTGCAGTTGAGCAGAATCATAAGTAATTAATGCAACTGAAATGGTGATAGTTAAGTGCTCGTAGTCAGCTGTGAGGGATGGGACTATTTCCTGACGTCTTTTAAACACTATGTTACTTATTGTTCCAAGTGCTTACCTGCAGTTGACTAAAACCCTTAAACCCTTCTTTGCATTTAATGAAATGAGCCTATTACCATTAAACCTGCTTTCACGTGCCCTCGGTGTGAGCTGGCAATATGCTTTCTATTTACAAAACTCCCACAACATCTATAAATCCTCGACACTGATTGCTGCATACAAAAGACACTAAGAAAAAAAACAGAGTTAAATCAAATGCAGCTCCAAATGAAGCCCATTCCCATTATTGATGGACAGAATTTGCAGGTCCCTGCAGCCTGTCAACATATCAATAACTGTCAAGTTAGCAAGCATGTGGCAGGCTGGTAAACAAGTTTAATGGAAATGTCAGTCCAAAATAAAATCTCAGCCAATTCAACCTATAAATAGTCGGAGCTTTCCGATGCCAATAGCTTTCTAATTCCATTGTTTGTGGCTAAGCCCTCAATCGTGTCAGCATTATGCTAATAACAATGAGAATAAATGAATCAAATTTTGAATGATTTCTGCGTCCCCATCATACCTCCCACTCAGGTAAGGCATCACAGTAGCTCACAGTTTTAAACTGTTGTGTTAAGACATGCTTAAGGCTGCACAGACTTAAAGACAAGCACTGAGACATTTACAACTTTCAACAAAGTTTTTCTGTGTGTGTTACGCCTTGTCAACTCACCTGGATCATTGTGAGAGTGGGGGACCACGAACACTTGCAGCGGTTCATTGTCCCACTCATCAGCCTCATATGTAATATCAAAGCCCTGTTTCCATACACCGCCATCAGGGTTGTCAAATTTGAGGATGGAGTACACATCCAGCATCTAAAATGAAATACAAGCTCGTCATTTGCTCACTAGACACACCCAAAAATAAGTATGCCAAAACATCTAGAATACAGCCGTTCTGGCCAATCAATTGCTTAGCATTTCATCTAGAGGGAAAAACTGTCAGCAAGCTCACCTGAACGTCTGCTTGACCGTGGCTGCCTAAAGCAGGTTGGCAATCTTGGGGCTTGACAGCGAGGAAAGTGGGACGGCCGTCGAAGGGTAGGACCCAGGAACCATTGGCACTTCTGAATGGCAGATGGCCGCTGGGAGACACAGCTCCTGTGTCTGTGAGCTCCATCACAGAGTCCTTTATGTGGCTGATGATTTGGTGGTTTTCCTCCAGGAGCTGCTCCAGCTGCTCTATCCGGTTCTGCAGGACTGAGATTTGGCTCTAAAACACACACAAAAAAATCATAAATCACAGATGTATAAAATCATAAAACATCTGTTGACCAAACCCACATTCCTCCTCTCTTTTACAGAGAACAAACTTTGGCTTTAATTCTAAATATAAGACCATATGTAATGAAGAATCTGCTGATTCAGACGATGTAGCAAACAGCAGTATGAGATCAATCAGCACTGAAGGTATCTATACAACAAGCACATGATTGGACATGTAAATTTGAATATTTAGAATGCATTAAGCCTTATGTAACAGGATGAAACATTTTAAAATAATGTTTTCATGTTAGTATCTTTCTTCTGGTTAGGGCTGGGCAATATATCACATCGATATAGGAATATGAGACTAGATATCATCTTAGCTTTTAGATATTGTAATATTGTGCGTTGTCTTTTCCTGGTATTAAAGGGTGATGATTATTTATCAACAATTTAAGTGTGTAAATATTTTGTAAAAGCACCACTCGTCAACCGAACAATGTCGCAGCAATACCTGTATTGAGGTATTTGGTCAAAAATACTGATATTTCATTTTCTCCATATTGCCCAGCCCCGCTTTTGGTGAATCACAACATGCAAAAAGAAGCGCAACAAAACTAACAGCAGAAAGAGGTTTTCACAGATAATATGCACCACCACAACGGCAATTATTCTTACCCGTGGAAAGTTCCCGCCATTCTGTCGCCTTGCAGGGTCATGCTGGACTCGATCCAACATCAGATACAGTGAGAACACAGCCACACAGAATATGGCCCCTCCACACACTGTCACCTGCTTCCTCAACTTCATCCTCCTGTGGAGCAATCTTCTTTCCAGGGGTTTAGATTAAAAAAATGACCTTGGCTGTGTTTTTTCCAGGACAGAGAAAAGAAGTCCTTGAAAAGCGGAATTTAATTTTTCACAGTGTAGGAAAGAAATGATGGGAAGTAACCAGCTACACCAGTGTTAATGGTTCACTTCCACTCCGGCGATGCCTCCAGCCTCCACTCACCATACTGGAGACCACAACCAAGGGGGCTACAGCAGTGGCAGCAGTGGACAAGGGTACTAAATCAGCAATAGCTGGCAAGCAGTCTGTCAGCTTTGGCCAAACCACAGCCACCGGTGGGCTCCTTCAAAGTAGCCCTTGTGTTCAACCATCCAAACCGATGAGACTGCAGGAAAAAGGAAAAAAAAAACAAACGACACACACAAGGGGCTCAAACAGGGAGCCTAGTGTCCCCGCAGCATGATGTGTGTCGCTGTGGGCCTGCTCTCCTTGTCCAGTCCCCACTCCCACAGCAAAGTTTAATTCTCCAATAAAGCCAGAGTCCCCTTTTGCTCAGTTGGCCTCCGGTGCCATAACAGTTTGCACTCTAGGCTGCAGCAGCGCAAAGAAATAGGCTGAGAAAAAGACCAACTTGGCTTGGAGCAGTCGCTTTTTAATCAAGCCTCAACTCTGCCTGAGGCAGCTCCAAGAATTAAAATGAGACAAATGTCATTCTTCTCTCAGTGGCATAGTGACGGCGTATCTACTGTGGCAGCATGGGCAGTGTGTCTGTCCTCGATCACAAGCGCCAAGTCACATCGGAGGGTCTTCTTCAGCTGTTAGGAAAATTTTAGATTAATGGAACATGCCGAAATATGTATTTGACTTCCAGACAAACTGTCACTGACAAGAAGCGCAAGTGAAAGGAACTGTGTGGGAGAGTGACAGATACTTTTTTGATCTGACAAGTAAAAGTCAACAGGGAAAAATCTCAAGCTGAGCACAGTGGCCTGCATTTCCTCACCACGCTAATAGGTGTTCTTGTTTCCCTCTCTGTGCAAATCCAACGCGATCATAATCCGCTCGCTTCTCAGGCTGGGACTATCTAAGCATTACCACAGGGAGTGGGGATAATAACCTGGCACTTACATTTGCTCTGACTGACTGAAAAACAGCCTCACTGTCAGCGTGGGGAGGAATATTTCTTAGATCAGCTGTGCCACATGATGAATATATCCAACAAGAAAGGCTTTGTTACATGGGGTGCCTGACAGGGATAATAACACTGCAGCTCTAAATTTATGTGACATAATGTAAACCACATATCTCAAGCTGCTCATATGATGCCACATGAACACCAAGAGAAATATTCTTTAGTATTCACAACCCCCTGTGTACACTTTCAAATCCCCTTTGGTGTATTGACTCAGTAGGTGGCACCTCTGTTAAGGTTTAACTTGGTTGACTTTTAATCAGCTATCACTGGGCAGCTAGCCAGCAACATTGCGTTGCTTCAAACTTGAGAGCACTAACATACCTGCATTTGGATATTACCCTGTGTAAGCTCAGCTACACGGCAGCTAGTTAATACACGCAGCTCGTTAACCCATTAACCACATTAACCAAACTTTAACAACCCCCTTACCATTAACGAGATATCAGGAATATGCAGCGAGACAAGCTAGCGCTAGCCACCAGATGTTCCATTATTAAGTTACCACATCAGCTCGGCTGCTTTGCCAGCTAGCTTCGACAGTCGGACAACGTTAGTGGTGTAGGGGTTGTAACTGCCTGGTAAATGTAGGTGAACAGCAGTCACAGCTGTCCTTCTGCCTCCGCGACAAGCCTGTGCTGCTCGGCAGATTAATGTCTAACCATACGGACGGTAGCAAGTATTGGCTTGATAACATTAAGACAATACGTGGCTGATATTTCCTGGCTAACCGCTCACTTTGAATCTAAACCTCGGCTAACAGTCGTGTACGACCTTGGGATCCTGTCTCTTTGTGAACAAAATAAAGAAATCTGACGTTACCCATCAAAGGAGAGTAATCCGGAAGAGTGTAGAGCCCAGCAGTGTGTGTGCATTTAGCTCCGGGCTGACAGATTACCAACTGAACCAGTTAGCCTAGCAGCTAGCACCACTGAGCTAACGCAAAGGCCTCTGGGTAGAGAGGAGCTGCGCATCAGTCGGTGATTGGCCAACAGCTTCAGCAGATTGTATAATAAATGCACTAACCTTTGTACGGTGTGTGAGGGTCTGCAATGCAACATAAGTTTAGAACTTTAGAAATGTCTGAATTATTATTATTATTATCTTTAGAAGTAGTAGTAGTATGAATATGGGCTAGCTAAATAAGTGACATGTTTTAAATCACTTCACAAAAAAGCCTTTTATTAATTTCCACACACTATATATATATATATATATATATATGTGTGTGTGTGTGTGTGTGTCTCATTTGACTATTTTTATTGTTTTTATCTTGTGTTGTCATCGGTTATTGTATTCTTTTATTTTGAATAACTCTAATTGTTTGATTTGCTGTCCCTCAGTGCAATATATAGGGCAATTAGTTGCCAACTTTTCTTATCTACTTCAGTGGTGTTATTTTATCCTTTTTTTTTTTTTATTGTTCTTTCTATTTTCTTAAAATTGCCTCTTTTTATTTGCCCTGATCCTGCATTATAAATCTGGGATCAACCATGTAAAGCACTTTGTATCTTTGTTTTGAAAAGTGCTTCGAGAATAAAGTTTATTATTATTATTATTTGTATTATGAATGTAACAATGTAACGCTCAAGCTGATTACAGAGCTAAAGTATCCACCATGTAATGAATTATGAAATACATGACAGCATAATTACAGTAACACAGGTAATTAAAAAAATGGTCTAGAACACAGTGGGTGAGGAAGTATTCAGATCCTTTACTTAAGTAAAAGTACTAAAATCACACTGTAAAAATCAGGAAAATGTATTTCAGTATGCCTTTTAAAAGTGAAAGTACTCAGTGCAGAAAAAAATCAAATCAGTTTAATGAATGAAAATGATATATCTCAGAATATGTGAGAAGCTGTAACCATGTAATGTTTTTGCATTACACATGATTTAAACAATTATCAAAATAGTTGCCAATTAACTTTCAAATCAATCAACTAATCGTTCTAGCTGCACTTGTGTATTTTAATATGGTTTGTGTGCAAAACATATCAATTTCTGAAGTAACTGGTGCTGAAAATTATCAAAAAAAAAATGCAGTGGAGTCAAAAGTACAAGATTTCTGTCTGAAGTGTGGTGGAGTAGAAGTAGAAAGAAGCACTGAAGAAAAAAATGTGAAGTGAAACAAAAATACCTCAAATTTGTACTTCGGTGCAGTACTTGAGTAAATGTACTTAGTTACATTCCACCACTGAGGGTAACCAAGTAGATTCAAGCATTATAGTCACACAAGACATGTAAATAGCGAGAGTGGACGCAATCTTTGCAAAGCTCCAAGTTCAACCCATTTACAAAACCTTGGGACCCAGTTACATTAAGCATAGCGTTAGCTCCGGCAGGACTTGATGTCAAGCTCAGCTCACATCCCAGCTACATCAGCTGATCTCAAACAGCCAATCAACTGCTGGAGCAGCTGACTAATGAAAGGTAGTCAGCTGATCACATGATTCATTTCTATGCAACCAACTGGGAAAGAGCCATACTGCCAAATATAATACTGCAAATGGACATAAAGTGTTCTTTGACTAAAGTGTTCCTGACTAAACTATAATTGTTACTACTAAAAAAAAATAAAAAAAAAAGGTGTTATACTTAGAACAATCCACTCAGTAGCTCAGAGACAAAACAGTGTCAGGCTGTTATCATATGTATCGATGTTGACAAAAGGGCCATGCTTCTGCAAGACAAATACAACTGTTAATAGAGAGGTCTGTAAGTTTTCCTGAATAACTGGTACATCTTGTTTGGAAAGGCACGCTGAAAACTTTCATCACTGACTAAAACATTGCATGTAGGTGGCTGCTGTTGTTCCCAGTGCAGAAATATTAGTGTAAGAGCAAGAAAAAAACACACAGTCCATTACCGTGTGGGCTGTGCCTGTGATAATAGGCCACAACTGCATCTGGTTGGATCGTTTTCTCTGATACACCAGAGAGCGTCCAAAATACAGAAGCCAAAAAGTTACATAACGTGAAATATAACAAAACATATGTCCTGGTAAAGGCCCATGCATTACTCTACTTTATTTTCTTGGCAAGAACAAGAAACAGATTTGAAATTAAGTAATCTGTGAGTTTGGCTACCCTAAAAAGCAGATGGCTGTGAAAAAACGACATATATATATACATAGCTTTTGAAGTGAAGAACTTTTTGTTATTTGTGTTTTCATGTTTGGACAGTGTAGGAGCCAGAAGAGTCCAGAAAATAATACATAATTTCTCACATCTTGCGTACTCAGTGGGTGATTGCAGTGGCAGCATTTGAATAAAAAACATGCTGTAATTCAGGGGGAATGTGGCTAACAGTTTGTGCCCTTGTGCATGATATACTGAAGATGTCCAATAGTCAGAGAGGAGTAGGATAATAACTTGTTTGATTAATGACTGTTTGGTACAGTACTTTAAGAACTGGGAGTGGCTTCTTTAGATGAATGTCAGTATGCAGCTTTTATATTGTTGTTGGACTGCTGTGACCCCTGGAATGGCGACCTCCATGTCTGAGATATTTGCCTTTAGACAAAGAGGCTCAAGCAGTGCTGCCTAGTCTGTCATTATATCGCCAAAAGTGAAGATCAGCCTGACTGCCGATGAACGCCACTGTGCATGTAAATGACACCTGAGAAGCCCCGTGTGGAAAATATAATGATGCTTTGCATGCGAGTCACATTGTTGTGCTCTTTTGATGGATCATTCGGGAACTCTTTATGTGATTATGGAAACAGGAGCTTAACTGAATAAATAATTAATTAACAGACTGTGTGGGACATGACAGGAACAGATGGCATTGTTTTGGTTTTGCTCTAGTCACAAGAGACTGATAACTTTTCATGGGGTCTACAAAATGTTCAAAATTATGTGCATGATTTTGGTGTATGAGAGTTTTATTTTAATAAAAATTAGGTTTGGTACCAGAAAGCACACCAGCAACGACAGAATCTCGTTCTGAAAGCATGATCTCTCATAAAACAAAGTCCTGATAAGGAGCAAATGTTTACACAGCTGGTTTTGATTGTGATTTCACAGCCTTCTCTTTGGTTCCCTGGTGCTGTCACTGAGCCTCGTGGATATCCTGTGGATCTGGTATGTATGAGGTCTCACAACAAGCCCAGCCCTGAGGAGGAAATATATACCAACAGCCCATGCTGGATCTTGTTGTAAAGTCACAAAGCTGCCACAGTAATATGAGAGCCTTCACAGGTGTACCTGAGCACAAAGCTAAAAGGTAACTACCTTGTCTCCACAGCAACAGAGGGAGAACAACAACAGTGCTTGACTGTCCTGGTAAATGAGAGTCCCCAGGTGAGTAATGAAGGAAATACCATACCAGGGCATTTCCTTTTGTGGTTTTCATCTGAAAAGACACTGTTGCAAACACACTTTTAAAACTCACAGGTGAAGACTCAAAATGCCTTAATTCCAAAGTGACAGAAGTCACTTTTCACCATGTATAAAATGGAATCCAGCCCCCTACAAATGTACAATTTTGATGTACTGGTATAAGCACTTCATTGGAGCTTTTCCATCTTATGCCACTTTACATCCACTATATTTGTCAGACAGTTGTAGCTACTAGTTAGTGATTAGTTATGTAAAATGTTCTGTATCAGTCCACATCAGATAAATGTATGTGAATTCAGTGCCGGACCCAGAACATTTGGTGCCCTACACATGACATTATCATGATGCCTCTCCTCCAGGTGGCACCCACTGCAGTTTCCTATGTACCCTGTAAGGTAGATTGGTTTGTGTTTACTTTAAGTCCAGGCTTAAAACCTACTTCTATTCATTAGCGTTTGAGTCCCACTGATGTGGTTTTCCCTGATGCGTGCCTGTGTGTGTTGTGTCTCTAAATGTGTGAGCTGTGTACCTGACAGTTATGTCACTTCTTATGTATGTGTTTTTAGCATTTTATACCTTTTGTACAGCACCTTGGTCAATGTGAGTTGTTTCTAATGTTCTTCATAAATACATTTGAGTTGAGTTGAGTTGAGTTGAGTTGAGTACTGGCATTGTATGTTTGCAGAACTGTATGATTGTATGTTTTATCCAGTGTAACCTTGTGTAGCCCTGTCCAGTGTACAGTGCCTTGCAAAAGTATTCATACCCCTTGAACTTTTCCACATTTTGTCACGTCACAAGCACAATCTTAAATGTATTTTGTTGGGATTTTATGTGATAGACCAACACAAAGTAGTGCATTATTGTGAAGTGGAAAGAAAATGATACATGGCGTACTATATACATACTATACTATGAGTTTTTTCCGCGATTTTTGACAACATACCATACTACAATGTTTTTTCGTGATTTTTGACGACATACTTTACCATAATCTTTTTTCACTATTTTTGATGATTAAACTATGATTTTTCACGAAGTACTATACAATGAGTTTTTTTCATGATTTTTGACAAAAAAAAACTATACAATGAGGTTTTTCATTATTTTTGACGAAAAACTAAACTATGAAGTTTTTCGTGATTTTTGCCAACATACTAAACTATGACAGGTTTGGTTTTTTTCACGATTTTTGACGACATACTTTACCATTACCTTTTTTCACTATTTTTGACAATTAAACTATGACGTTTTTTCGCGTTTATTGACGACATACTATACTATGTCATTTTTTTCATGATTTTTCACGAAATACAATATGATGAGTTTTTTTCATGATTTTTGACAAAAAAACTATACAATGAGGTTTTTCATGATTTTTGACGAAAAACTAAACTATGACGTTTTTCGTGATTTTTGCAGACATACTAAACTATGACAGGGTTTTTTTTGTGATTTTTGACAACATACCATTCTATGAATTTTCGCAATTTTTTACGACACACTATGACTTTTTTTCATGATTTTTGATGAAATACTATACAATGACATGTTTATGTGATTTTTAAAGACATAC